TAACTCATGCTGAAGATCAATGTCTTCTTTTTGAAGCTGAGCGAGTTTAAGAAGGTCGATTCCTTGGAAACTGTTCAAGGAACTTATTCGAGACAAGGCGTCTGCGACTACATTGTTAGCTCCAGAAATGTATTGTATGTCTGAAGTAAACTGCGTTCGGTAAAAAGCGTGAATTCTCTTCCTTGATGGTATATTGGAAGTGCCGTACAGCACAATACATAACCAGGAGTTCCCTACCGAACGTGCTGTACCTAGATTCCGCGTCTAACAACCTTCTCGAGAAAAATCCTAAAAGTTGCCACGAGTTGTTAACCCATTGTTGTAAGACTCCTCCGATTGCTGAGTCGGATGCGTCTACTGCGATACTAATGGGTGCTTGAGTGTCCTGATGAGCAAGCAGGGTTGCTTTAGCGATGTGTTCCTTAACTGTGGAGAATGCTTTACGAGCTGTGTCGTCTAGACTAATTGATTTCGCATTTCCACGAAGCTGATCAGTTAACGGTTTCATTAGGGATGCGCATTTAGGTATGAACCGTCTATAGAAACTTACGAGTCCGTTAAAAGTTCGTAAGTGCTTGATCGTGGTCGGTTCTGGGTAATCCAGAATGGCCGCCACTTTGCTCCTAAGGGGTCGGATGCCTTGGGCATCAATGGTGTGTCCTAAGAAGTCTAAGCAGTTAGTTCCGATTTGGCATTTCTGAATGTTGACAGTAATGCCATGCCTTTGAAGTCGATCGAAAACAATGTCCAGATGCTTGAGATGTGATTCTCTGTCCGGACTTGCTATTAGACAGTCATCAACATACGCATGTACGAAGTTGAGACCTCGGAAGACGTCGTCTATAAACCTTTGGAAGGTTTGAGCCGCATTTCTTAAACCGAAAGGCATTCGCAAGAATTCGTAAAGACCGAAGGGAGTAATGATGGCGGTTTTAGGGACGTCGTCAGGTGCCATCGGGATTTGGTTATAGGCCTTAACTAAGTCAATTTTTGAAAAGACAGTTGTACCTTTCAAGGTAGCTGTCAAATCGTGAATATGAGGCAACGGGTAACGATCGGGAATGGTTTTAGCATTCAGACGCCGATAATCACCAGTTGGCCGCCAATCATTGCTGTCCTTTTTAGGGACCATGTGCAATGGACATGACCATAGACTATTCGATGGTCGAATTATCCCTAAGTCTATCATATGGTCGAATTCGTTTCTGGCTAACCTAAGTTTTTTGGGAGCGAGTCGACGGGCTTTTGAGAATACAGGTGGTCCTGTGGTCGAGACGTGATGTGTAACATTGCTGGTTACACAAGGCAATTTCGATTGCGACTGGTATATCCCGGGGTATTTTTCGGGTACTGATTGGTACAAGGGGTCTATGGTGTGCTTAATCGTGACTGGGGATAACCTGCAACCAGAACAAGGAGTTACGCTAATAGATAACTTAGTGTTTCCGTCTATTAACCTTCGTCAGCGTGTGTCGATGAGTAGATTGTGGTATTGTAACAGATCTATACCAATGATTGGCATAGAGACATCTGCAACATCAAAAATCCAGTGTATGTGTTTGCTTAAACCCACGTTAAGGTAGGCGTACCTTTCACCGTAAATAGCGATCGGCTTTCCGCTTGCCGCCTGTAAACTTAAAACAGACTCGCGAAATCTGTCGTCGGGATTTGCTGGAAGAACGCTAACTTCTGCGCCAGTGTCGACGAGGTAGCGAACTTTCGTAGTCACATCCGTGACATATAAGAGGCGGCTGTGTTCACCGGCTACGGTTGCCGTTAACGCGTGCCGGCTGGGAAGTTTCCCGAAATCTTATTCGTGTCAGTCGCCTTAGACTTCGGGTAATTGCAGAGCTTCCTGCATTTTCCAGAGGATTTACCGTACTGGTTGTGATACCTGCACCAGTCGGGGTTGTCTGTCTCTCGCGGTGGAGAGGCAGATCTCTTACGTGAAATGCTCCTACGTGGGGATTTTGACGGACTACGGTCATTACGGAATCTAAGATAGCGTGTCAGTGTATGACATAGTTCGGTAATGTCATTCGGGGTCGTTTGAGGTTTTTCTGTGACGGAAAAGACCTCGGTCTTAGAAGATTTAGTGATTTCCAAGATTCGGTCGGCAGATGCAGCCAGCTCATCTATGGCGTTGTTTTGAAATGAGACGAGCACTGTCTGCACCTGATGAGGAAGTTTAGACAAGAAAAGTTGTCTGAATAGGCCATCATCGAAAGTTCGTTGGCCGATAACCTCTCTCATTCTTAGCAACATGTCTGTCGCAGAACCATGTTGCAAGTCGATGTTATGGAGGAGTTGGTCTAACCGTTGTCGGTCGGTTAGCTCTCCACGGTTTAGAATCGAACATTTTAAAGTTTCATAAGGTTCGGGAACATCACTAGTAAACAAACTAGGTGTTACGTACCTGTTAAACTCGCGCGGTAACGCCTTAACTACCGCGAGGAATCGTGAGCGCGAGTCCGTGATTTCGTGCATGCAAAAATCAGCTTCTGCGTAGCAGAACCAGGACTCGATATTGTCGGGCCAAAATGTCGTTAACTGAATCGAAATAGGGGGAATAGACTTTAACTTAAAAACCTTAGGAGAGTGTTCCGTCATAGTAATATAGATAACGAAAATGTCTAATTAAAATATATCCGGGAAAAAAATTCGCGAAAAAAGGTATATCACAATATATAAAATTCAAATAAAGAATAACAATGAATAATAATATTCCAAAATGGAACAGATTCACAGTATATTGGCTTTGTGTACCAGATCACGTTAGGATCACCAATGAGGATACAACGGATATTCTAGTTTTGCAACTAGCAACCAGTAGTATCCTCTATAATCGTTCGTCCCCAGTCGAATAGAAACCAGAAGTCAGACGAGGAGAGACAGGAAAGATATATTTGATTCGTTACCAACATATCGAGAGACTTCGTTCTTAACTGGCTATTGTAACGTAGGAGCTGTGTCCCACGCCGTGTTGCAACGTGATCTGGTACGGATGCATGACCGAAAGCCTTCAGCTAAACAAGTTCACTTAAACAACGTGGTCAGCATCCAATGTCGAACACTTAATGAGCTATTGATTTTGGGGAATTATTTACAGCTACAACCATTTTGGGACTCGTCAGCTGGATGTACCTGCATCTCAGAGTTGATGTTCACTCTGGGACTCGAACCCAGTACCCTCGCTTCAAACGCCATCGCGTTATCCACTCGGCCACTGAGTCCTGATAGCCACTTGCTTGTGCGATGGGGTGAAGTTTAAATTCAACTTAGTATTGTTTGTTTGAATCTTCCCATCGATTTGTTAGGACTGCAACTGGTTAGTTTCTAGGGTACTGGGTTCGAGTCCCAGAGTGAACATCAACTCTGAGATGCAGGTGCATCCAGCTGACGAGTCCCAAATAGGATGAAACGCGCGTCCTGGATTCCACTGCTAGCCACTATCCATCTCTGCTAACCATGCTTGTGAATTAAGGTATATCGAGGCAATACGCACAGTATGCACATATGCCCATTAGAGACTGACCAGTTGCAGTCCTAACAAATTGATGGGAAGATTCAAACAAACAATACTAAGTTGAATTTACAACCATTTTGCTTAGATCTGATAGAACCTTACTGAGACATGTACTACCAAGAACAGATTACAGAAGTACAGAGGTGTTCGATTCGTTTGTCCTTACGGTTTATCCATGATCTTGAGGAGGCTCTGTAGCGTAGGATGATCGGCCATCTTGTGAAGAAACGGTTCATCTTGATGAAGAGGTTAACTAGAACTTAGTGACTTTTCAATGGCTGCATACACCCTGATTCAAAACAAATTCCACAGTGTTCATAATCAGCCGATAAAAGCTTCTCTCCCTATCACTAAAGAAAAGAGTAACTTATCTGTCGACAGTATTTCTACCACTCTTAAAATAAAGTCACCAGTAAAATAGAGTTCCTGTTTTTATGTTTAATGAATGGCTAGACTGTAGTGTCTCGCATCACGTTAAGCCCACATGGGTCATTCTAGCTTCTGGGCAAACCAGTTTATTCATTTTTCTTATGTCACATTTTGGCCTTGTTACGTATTTGCTTATTGACCTTGACTGTTTCTACATGGACGTAGATGTGTGCATTGTTTACCCTACTCAGGACATATCTGTAGCTGATTTTTGTCTCATTACAAATATTGAGTCACGCTTCATCAAAATGAGTTGACTCACTCGCCCCTCCGCATTCTTGCTTCTTATTATGAATATCTGTCTGGATAAACGAGTGCTTGAAATAAATCCGTCCAATGCAACCAGTATTTGGCTTCTTTTTACCGTTATCACACAAATGGCGTTAGTCTAGATAACATACATAGTTCAATGAAAGATTTATGTTCATAGCATATTCATTCGTCCTTTTAAGTTGGAGTCATATCAACGGGCTACAGAAAGACTAACATTAAAGTATCCTAAACAGTGATTAATTTTACTGATACAAGCCATCCATTAACTCAATGTAATGATTGGCTAATATACTTCTGATGAATAACTCATTCCATTCGCGATATATTCATAAAATATAAAAATTTAACTGCATCAGATTCCTGACTTTTATAGCTTTAATAGTTGAGTTTCTTTCAAGTCTGATCCCACCAGTCCTATATGATAATTAGAAATTGTCAAACTGATTTGCTGACTAAGAATTTCCGAAACAGTGCAATTTAAGGCAGGTGAATGAGTACAATTGAACGTACTATAATTGTAATTCGTAATAAGCGTCCAATCAAGCTCGAAAGAATCATCAGTTAGTCAAATACCACATCGTATTACAAGCAAAATATAACAACATTATTCACATGACATTGACTTCGATTGTTCATCATTGATAGTAATTAGGTTGAATAAACATAAAACAAAATGAAAAATATTTGATACTTTATTGTAAAAATAACATTGTTTAGTGAATATTCCAGTGTATATCTTTCTGAATGTTCAAAAAGACTGACAGTAAAAGATTTAACTTCCCAGTAATAAGTTTTTCATATTCTTTAAATTCAAAAATGATGTTCTGAAAAGATACCTAAAATTATTAAGTAAATGAAAGTTCTTGGAAATTAATCAGCTTCTATTGCTGCATATGTTTAATACCTTTATTGTAATCCAATTTATAATTAAAAGCGTGAGTCAATTGAAGCTAAACCACCATGGAAAACCTGGAAGCACTGAACTGCCGTTTCATCCTATTGTGGGACCCCTCAGCAGTGCGCATCCACAACCTCACCTCGCGAGATTCGAACCAAGGAGTTCTAGTGAGAAACAGTGACTAGTGGAATTCAAACCACGTCTGTTGTGAGATATCAACTCACTGAAGACAATTGGTGAACGGTTGCTCAATTCCGTGGATTGGTTGATGTTAGACATAAACAACATTGAATGCCGGCCGGCTCAGTGGTCTATCGGTTAAGTGCTCTGGCGCGAGACTGGTAGGTCTTGGGTTCGAATCTCGCAAGTCGGGATGGTGGATGCTCACTGCTGAGGAGTCCCGTGATAGGACGAAACGGCCATCCAGTGTTTCCAGGTTTTCCATGGTGGTCTAGCTTCAACTGACCCACGCTTTCAACTATGAAAATACTAAATCTCCACAAAAACCCCCTTCTGATCCAATTTATAGTCTATCGTTTATAAAATATTTGAGAATATGTTTATAATGATGCATTTTGTTTGCATAGGCAAATTGGGATTTAGTCATTTAGATGCTGATAGAGATGTATATGCTGTTTATATAAAACAATGAATACATTGTACATTCATGCTGGTTAGCTTTATATATCATAAAATTTATCCATTTATGCTCATGTTCTTCTCAGTCCTCAAGGGATAACAGAATATGATATTTCTTTAATTCCAAGCAATATTATTAATTATTTTGTATGAAATCAACGAATTCAGTGCCTCTGAGATCACTAACAGCAGTTGGCAAGGTTCAATTCTGAAGTAACGTATCCTCATTATATTACAAAAGATCAAGGTTAAGGTATGAAAGAATAATCCACTACTTTCATATGCCCCTAAAAAAATTAAGTTCAGTATGCAAAAAGGTTAATAAAATAAACTGTAAATAGATCATGGCTGGTTTAACTCACCAGAAATTGAATAAATAGCTCCTTCAATCAAATAAATGACATTTTAGTAATGGAAATAATTAATTCCTGAAAATTAGTGACTGCATCTCCCTTTGCTGATGACTATTCATGTGATCTAGGATTGTTTTAAAATCTTTGCTAGAAAATAGTAAATAATGAGTCTTTGGATTCCAACAAAGTTCACAAGCCCAGAACGAATTACTTATCGGCTGACTACCGACTTTCCCATCGAATCATCAACGAGTGGAATTCATTACCTCAGCACGTGGTTGAGGCTCCATCCGCCGACTCTTTCAAAAGAAAGCTGGATCAGCTGAGAGACCATCATTGCCAGGACTAACACAGGCCATCAAGCCTGCTGTTCTTTCCAAACTGAAACTAAAACTAACTAGGATTAAGCTGTTTAGACAACTATTATGAAATGTTTCGCGTTTTATAAATTTTTTAAAGTTCCATATGTTCCACATAACTTCAGTTAGGTTGATAACAGTTAAACTTATCACTCAACATATTATTAACACTATATACATGAATGATGACACTTATGTAGTGATTGTAGCCAAAACTAATTTACAAGCACTCATAGAATTACGTTTTTTACCATCTTTTAGAAATGATATAAAAGTAAAAAATAAATAACCCGTTCGGAAATTGTGAAAGCACAACTTTATCCATACAATCATAAATATTTGACTATAGACACTTAAGTTATCAAGTATAAATAAATAAATCTTACTTATGATTAATTGGATGAAACTCTAACATGATAAAATAGAAAGTTTGCAGTAAATGTTGATGAACATTGTGCGAAAAAACCATTCACATGATTCAAAAATGATAACAATTGGTCGATTCTTATCATCGATTTCAACCAGGATATTTATTCTAATTTATCTATAAAGTCAAACAAATTAGTTTTGAACGAAACTCGGTCATAAATTTGTTGAGGCTATGGTAATTCATCATTTCAAACTTGATCTTTTTTGTATATTAACGATATATTCAGTCACTTATTATACCATGATCCTCATCCCTCCAACCCACCTTTCTTATTTTTGCAAGTTGATTTTTTAAAGGTACTTGTTTCTTCTTTTAGATTCGTCAAGTGAACACTCAGCATTTACATTTGTCTTCTATATATGCCGTTTTCATTGTACCTCTCTCATTATCCTTAGATTATTACATAATTTAGATTTAAAATCTATAAATATCTTTTTTGATTAGGTTTAGGTAACAACGAGACAACATTCTATTTGACTTGAAAGAATATCGAGGTGAAAAATTGTATTCATTAATTTCTTTGTCAGACTTTCTATTTTAATTGTAAACTACTATATACGTGAAACATAACCATATCATCATGATTTTACAGTTTTAGTAAGTGAGATTTACCCCTCGTGGTGAAGCGTTGGCCGCACACCAGCATTCTCCATACAACCCTGTCCTGGACGATCCTTTCCAGTTCTTTCCAGTTGTTATTCATCCTTCTCATACCCGCTTCTATTTCCCGGCGTAATGTGTTCTTTGGCCTTCCTCTTTTCCGCTTCCCTTCCGGATTCCAAGTTAGGGATTGAGTCGTGATGCACATTGGTGATTTCCTCAATGTATGTCCGATCCACTTCCAACATCTTTTCCTAATTTCCTCTTCAGCTGGAAACTGGTTTGTCCTCTAACATAAAACACTGTTGATGACAGTATCCGGTCAATGAATGTTGAGTATTTGGTGTAAAAAATTGTTTACAAATACTTGCACCTTTTTAACGATGGTTGTAGTAGTTCTCCACGTTTCAAATCCGTACAGTAAAACCAACTGTCTTGACGTTCGTATTGAATATTCTCACTTTGAAATTGGTTTAGAGTTGTTTTGAGTCCTATATGTTCTTCAAGTGTTGGAATGATGTCCTTGATTTGCCAATCCTCGCATTTACCTCTGAATCAGATCCTCCTTGTCCATTAATGATGCTTCCCAGGTACGTGAATATTTCCACATCTTCTAGAGGTTCTCCATAAAGTGTGACTGGTTTGGTTTTCTGTGTGTTGTATTTGAGGATCTTGTTTTCTCCTTTGAATATGTTGAGGCCTATTGATGCAGAGGCTGCTGCTACATTAGTTGGCTTCGTATGTATTTGTTCGTGTGTATGAGATAGGAGGACTAGGTCATCTGTGAAGTCGAAATCGTCTAACTGGTTATGAGATGTCTATTGTATTCCGTGCTCCCCCCCCCAGATGTCGAGGTCTTCATAATCCAGTCGATCACCAGAAGAAAGAGGAAGGAGGAGAGTAGACAGCCTTGTATGACTCCGGTCCTTACTGGAAATGGATTTGTCAGCTCTCCTCCATGCACGACTTTGCACCGTAGTCTGTCGTATGAGTTCCGGATAATGTTATTAATTAAAGAGGTAAACTAAATTACTTAAGAATTTCCACATTTGCAAAAAATGGTTTTCTTGCCAAGGAGAAATCTCTAATCAATTTTCAAATTTATAACCCCGAGGTATAACCAGTTTTAAGGTGAATTCACTTTTTAGTAGTTAAGTTTATAAATTTAAAATTAGTTATCGATGTTGAAATGGCTAATATACTACATTTAACTGAATTATGTTGTGGGTTAAATGAAGTCGCGGAACAAATGCTGAGATAAAAAACTCAAAATGAGGAGTAAGTAAATTTCTCTGATGTATAAAAGTGAAATAATTACCAGTATGGGGGATTTGTAGGGATTTCCGAATGTTTTGGGATCACGAACTAACTTAAATTAGAAAACCATAGAAAACGCAGAAACACTGCACATCTGTTTTGTCCTAGTATAGGACTTCTCAGCAATGTTCATCCTCGGTATGAGGCAGGTACCCACCTAAGACAGTAGAAAATGGTTGTCCCACGTTGAAAACCAATTTAAATTAGACTAGTAAACCACTGGGGTCGGATTAATAGTCTAAAAGTTAAGCTCCAACCAGACGACCTGAAATCCTTAGGTTTGATTTCTGGGATGCTCGTTGATGTGCACTCCTAAGGAGTTCAGTGCTAGAATGAAATAGCTGTCTTGTGCTTTCAGATTTTCAATGGTTGTCTAGTTCAGGTTATTTCTTGATTAAATGGCAACAGTTAGTTAAATTAGGTAAATTTAGACTAAGAAGATGCAAAAGGAAAGAACATGTATGCATGTGTATCAGACCGTTCTATAATCGAAAGGACCATTGGGTTATTAAGTTAGCCAACGTAGGGGAAATGATTGAAACTTTCTTGACTATTAAGATCATATTTTTAATTCATATTCATATAGCTTTTTCAGTCTAAAAAGTCGAAGCCTGATTGTTATTAAAAAATTATTCGTAACCTAAAAGTTTATTTAAAATGACTAATTAATGTAAGTTTTTCACGATCAGACGAGCTAAGACGGGATTGCCATTAGTTTTAACTGAAATTGTGAAACAGGTCAGTTTGTAAATTTAAGAAAATTCATTTCTTTACAACAACAATGTAGACCGTAATAGAGACCTGGTCAAACTTTTTGGCTACTTAAATTTTTTAAAGTGTACTTTTTGCAGTAAAATTTCCCATTTTATATTTATTTTAACCGACTTATTATGTGTAGTAACCTAGTATACTTAAACAATATCATAAAATGTTTTCAACCTATAATGAATTTAATTAATGAGTGATTTTTGAAAAAAAACCCATCATATTGGTTGGTCTACGTTCCGGCCCACTTTTTCTTTAGAGAAACGATATGCGATTACCATAGTATCCTTACATCAAACATACTATTGTAATGAAAAGAGATGATATAGTATCAAGACTAGTTGTAAAAACTTGTAGATGGATATGAATGGCAGCTAATCTCGGTCTAAAAACATATTTCTTGAATATTCACAAGTTAAATATAGTTGAAATGGGAATTAGTTACAACACAGCGTATTTTATTCTGAGAATTCTTTACTGTGACACTAAATTATGTATTCGCAATATCGTAAAAAATGGATAATTGAATTCCTAACATTTCGTGACTCATAGTAAGTCACTTCTTCAGATAATCCACGAAATGATCGAAATTGTCTGAATTGAATCATATATTTTGATTTGTCCCCCTGTACTAAATAAACTATCGTTGACTTAGTCTGAACATTTATTTATTCTCCAGAGAAACGATTTACAGTGAGTATCGAAACTTTAGAAATTCATTTTTCTACTCATTGGAGCATTACTTAATTATCATGACACAACCCACTGAATAGGCAATTCATCCGAAATTATCAAGTATGACCTTGATGAAGATGATGTCAACTAACCTTGTTCACTGAACAAATCGAAAACTTAGAAAATGAAGAACAAAAATGCAATTTACAAATTAGGATGAATGAAATGGATCAAAACTTTGAAAAGAAAACTTTCAATGTTTTATATTTTTAAGCATGTTATCATCAAATCTTTACAACTAAATACATATTTATATACAAAGCATACACTGGTTGCTAAAGTCAAATTGATGTTAACTTTAGTCTATTAGCCATTTTCTTGTGAACTTATATCTTTGATTATTGAGAGAGAAACAACATTTATTGCCACTATTTTTATCACTGATCTATCTTAAATCAGTTTTAATATTTTACGTTTGTTTAGTCTAAACATGTCAAGAATGAAACTGTCATCATCAGTGATATCCAATGATCTTCGTACTGTATCATGAAGTTATAAAGGCCGAAAACGTGTACCATTTTGGGATAATTCATTGATCTGATGACTAAACGCTCACCACAAAACCCAAAGCTCCTAGGTTGGCAACTTGATATGGTTGTAGATGTTCTCTAATAAATAGTCCCTTACTAAGAAAAAACAGATATCTACTGTCACATGGTTCCCAATGATACCACAGGAGAAGTCAATCCTTGATGAAATCTGTCCGCAAATATCGTGTATGTTTGTTTAATGTATAGATAATAACAATTTACATTGGCAGTTTATTATTTAACAAATTAAGAATAGATCAGAGGGGGTTTTGTGGAGAATTTAGTATTTTCACAGTTGAAATCATGAGTCAATTGAAGCTAGACCACCATCGAAAACCTGGAAGCACTGGACGGCCGTTTCGTCCTATTATGGGACTCCTCAGCAGTGCGCAGTGCTTCGGCTCGAGACTGGTAGGTCCTGGGTTCGAATGTCGCTCGCGAGAGCGGGTTCGTGGATGCGCACTGCTGAGGAGCCCCATAATAGGACGAAACGGCCGTCCAGTGCTTCCAGGTTTTCGATGGTGGTCTAGCTTCAACTGACTCATGATTTCAACTGTGAAAATTAAGAATACTTAGTAAAAAATATTTGGCAGGTGAGGACAATCGAATATATTTTAGCACATTACAGAATATCTCATGAGAATATGAGAACCATATAGTGAACAGTTAATTTGCAAAATAACAACCAATTGTCTCAATCTTTACTGTTCCTTCTGTAAATATCAGTTCATCTTCTCTAATTTCATTATTTATGCATTTTGTTACCAATTGCGCTTCATTTCAGTTCTTTCCTTATCGATCTTCTGCCAAAATACATTCTAGGTCTGATCATCATCATACACTACTTATGTGGACATAAGTAGTCCACTCCACAATATGTGATAAAATGAGATCTTAAAAATTGTTACATCTTGTAAAACACCGAAACAAAACCAATGAATAAAACACTTGGTGACATTATATGAACTGAAATAAACTATAAACATATACCTGGGTAAATTATATATTCATTGGAAGACATAAAACTACATTTGTAGTAGTCTCAGTGTTACACACAGTATTTTAACCTGAGTTTATTCAATGAAAGAAAAAAACACTTCATACTCACATCCATCGCCAACTCCTGTTTTATTGTGTAAAAAAAGAGAGAGAATATAATCAAAATAGTAAATTTCCAATCTCCAAATTTTGGGGAAAATCTTATCCGTTTTGGGGAAATGGCACAAAATCCCCAAAATGGGGAGATTGGGTTATATCATTCAATAAACAGTATATAGTAAAAATGTCACTTATTGAGAAAAGATTTAATTGTTAGTTAGCTAGTATGTTCTCTACTTAATTTGTATATTTTAAGTTATAATCTGATGAGAAATTTTAAAGTATACATACATTAGTCTCAGAACGAGATTAACCAGTTGTTTACTATTTCATCATTTGTGATGGATGATTCACTAATAAGTATACTGTTATGAATTTAAAAAATAAGCTGTCTCCAAACTGTTGTGCTTATATGTCCGGCTTTTTATCACGTGAATTATACAACAATCGGAATACGACTTTTCTAATCTTAACACTGCGACAAATCAATGACGTTCGACCAGTATGAGTAGTCTAGCGTCCTAATTGGTCCCTTGTCCGCCTAGCCCTTCCAAATGGGTCCAGAATACCTATTACAGCTTCTGTCATGTGAATCATTTATTTCAAGCATACTCGGTTTATATTCCAGACAGACAGACCGCATAACTCCATAAAATAGAAAATAATATCTGTACAAGATCGAGCCAAATGTGGCTGTGAACGTGGGATACAATAATCAATAAACTGAATGTAATTTAGGGACAGTAAATCGTATAATAATAATCCATAAGTCAAAATGAAGCTTATAATAAGATGAATATAGATAGACACAATCTAATTATTCAATAGTTAAACAATAGGAATATATATAGAATAATAGTTTATTAATAAGTCCAGGAGGTTACTCGTACTTATGTCTCCACTAGGATATAACATATACACTTTTACAATTTGACATAATCATGATTTATTCAGTGGCATTGTTCCTGTACATCGGAAATGCAAGATTCAGTTGAATAGTACTAAATGAAATTAATGATCAAGGTAGGCTCTATTCACTATATTCACATCTTTTAGTAATCTTAAACAATAAATACAAATAGCTTGACTGACGTTTGACAACTTCCGTGCTATCCAGCCTACGTGAAATGTCTTTCTTTGTATCAAAGAATAAGTATATTGTACAACAGTTTACTTAGTATTAATTTATAGCTGTTAAACATAGCTTTATATTATACTTGATTAAATGTATCTTCAGATAATTAGTCATCTATAATAGAAAAATTAGGGTTAGATATGGGATCCTAGATAGAAATAGAAATGCATAACATAGATCCTAACCCCTATCTAATTGACATAATATGCCAATAAGCAGAGTACGAGGTTACAAGTGAATATCAATCCTTAGAACTGATATAAGATGGTGGTTGGAGTTGGTCAACAGGAAACCCTGGACCCGGGTTTCGTGTTACTTGGCACTCGTCAGCAAGGTGTACCTGTAATCTTGAGGGAACTGATGCTCCCTGACGGATTCAATCCCGTGTCATTCAGCTTCACAGTCAGAGACGTTACCACTCAAGATTACAGGTACACCTTGCTGACGAGTGCCAGGTAACACGAAACCCGGGTCCAGGGTTTCCTGTTGACCAACTCCAACCACCATCTTATCTCAATATATATAGTGTACGCAGTGTCGAGCCACCTAGACTAGTGACCACATTGCAACCTGATCGATAGCATTCGATCAGCACTAAGAAGGACTTGACACGCATGACATTGATCCCCATCCAGTTATCAATCAATTGTAACCCTTAGAACTGTTCATCACTGGTCTAAACTTTAAGAGGTAGATAGAAAATGTTTCAAATGTTTTACTTTTTAAAGTCTTAACCAGATTCACTATAGAATATTGGTAGTTATAGAAAATATCACTATTATATTAAAATGAAGGTTGCGAACGTTTTAATGCAATAAAACTATTTGCTTACTTTTCAGGAATGACCCTTTAAAACAATCATATTTTTAAAAAACAGAACGATATACTGAGTACAAAAAAGATCATTATATTAGAATGAAGCATGATGATTTAATTATAAATAATATTGCTGGATTATGTATCAAAAAGGGCGTTTGTGGAGATTTTCGAAATTTTAAATCGTTGAAATTATGAGTCAATTGAAGCTAAACCACCATGGAAAACCTGGAAGCACTGGACTGCCGTTTCATCCTATTGTGGGACCCCTCAGCAGTCCTCACTAGTGACTGGCTTCAAGAGGTATTTCCTGGAGTTCTAGTGACAAGCAGTGACTAGTGAATTTCAACCATGTCTGTTGTGAGATAGTAACTCACCGAAGACAATGGTGAATGGTTGCTCAATTTTGTGGATTGGTTGAAGTTAGACATTAACATCACTGGATGCTGGATCAGTAGTCTAGAGGTTAAACGCTCGCGCGCGAGACCGATATGTCCTGGGTTCGAATCTCGCGAGTCGGGATCGTGGATGCGCACTGCTGATGAATTCCACAATAAGACGAAATGGTCGGTTATATGTGTTGTACGAATTTACAATGTTGAGATTTTAATGTATTAGATTTTTTTTAGTAACATTTAGTGGCCCTGAAACTGACTCTAATTGGATCGTATGCATGTTATTGAAATACATATGTCGGTTATCCTCGTATGTAATAAACGACTAAATCCGCATTAGTGAATAACGAGATTAAATAATTCAAATACGAGAATGGATTTTTGAATATATATATACATACTGATTAATCTGGACAGACAATCAGAGGAATGAAGCTCCTCCACGAGGGGTAACAAGCCTAAGTAGGAGTAGGTAACTTGTTACTGTTACGCAAACTAATATACTTGATCTACTAAACAAAAGAAGATTGTCATGATTCAAAAAAACTTATAGAAATTCATAAAATTCTACTTCCATAAACTCGTGACACAGATAAAACAAACCGAAAAACATTTCCACGATTAATTTTAAAGCAAGATAGGAAGTGACTCACCAGGTTTACCAGGCGTTGGTTTTGTTCCATTGACAACTGAGAAACAAAAAGAACACAATAAAACGTATTAGTAAAATGAGGAAAGTAAGGCAATACTGTAATACAATTTCAAAAGTTAATTATAATTATAAAATACTTATGATAGTTACATCTGGGTCAAATCTATTGGGCAATAACTTATCTTCAAGACGAATGTCAAGACTGTTCAACTGTTAGATAGTAATTAAATTAACAAATGAGTTTACTGTGCCACTACCTTTACTACCTTTAATTTCACGCTTATTGAAATGATTCGAATTGTTGGTAAACGAACAATTATTGAGCTGTATAATCCTCCATAAAATATTCAGTGTCTTTTTTCTAATATACTTAATATACTTGAAGCAGCTTAAATTCTTCTTTTGTCCATTTACTAAAATATGAACTATTATTTCGTTGTCATTCACAGAGTCAAGGAGTATAGAACCGATTGTTTTTAAATATATTTATATCAGCATTGTTTGTGTAAGCTGTTTCGAACCCAATTCGCCAAATCTTTATAAGCGGTGCTCTTTAATACCTGTACCATCAACTATCATATTTTGTAGGAGTTGATTATTCTCAATTCGCATGACTCATTGTATGTTCAACCGGATGTACCTGCAACTCAGAGTTGATGTTCACTCTGGAACTCGAACCCATTACCTGACGAGTCCCAAATAGGATGAAGCGCGCGTCCTGGATTCCACCGCTAGTCACTATCCATCTTTACTTACTATCCCAATACAAATTTACGTATTCATTAACGGATCTCAATAATGTGAAAAACTTTCGTTAAAATATGAACTTAAAGAAAATCCGGAAGAGTCATAGCATTAGTTGCCAGTTTTCCAATGATAAATTTTCAATAGTAATCGTGTGAAATAATGCACTCACTTTTACCACTTCGTGGGATTTCCTGGCGTGTTGGCTTTGGAACAGAGGGAGCTGAAAGAAAATACATAAGTCCTATGCTTATTACATGGAAAATGAATGCTGATTTCATAAAATAACGTTTAATTTTGCTTGTATTATTTGCTTTATTTTCATTAATGTATAATTCCATAAAGATTATATTTGAATTATGTTAATCAATGAAAGTAAATAGTCCACTATCATGTAATTTGGAATCATTTTACTATCACTGGTATATGTCTGGTGTTTGTATGAACTAATGATTCCTTTGTACTTTAAAAGTACTTGTACCAGATAAGTCCAGTGATTCCGAAAATATTCATCCCCAAAATTATGAAAACCATGGCTGATGTAATTGCCAAACCTCTGACAAAACTCTCTGATGTATCTCTGCTGTAGTCTAAACTGTCAAGTGTAAAGACTGAGTTTGTAACAGTCAGCCCGTTAGTTCAACTGTCGTAGTCGCCAAACTAAGGTACAAGATTATTTAGGAGGGTATTCTAAACCACGTGAAATGGAATAATCTCTTAGCTAGGAGACATCCGAGGGGAATCATGGGAATACAGTAGACATCTCACAACCACTTGGACGATTTGGACTTCGCAGATGACCTAGTCCTCCTATCTCATACACACGAACAAATACATACGAAGCCAACTAATGTAGCAGTAGCCTCTGCATCAACAGGCCTCAACATATTCAAAGGAGAAAACAAGATCCTCAAATACAACACACAGAAAACCAAACCAGTCACACTTTATGGAGAACCTCTAGAAGATGTGGAAATATTCACGTACCTGGGAAGCATCATTAATGGACAAGGAGGATCTGATTCAGAGGTAAATGCGAGGATTGGCAAATCAAGGACATCATTCCAACACTTGAAGAACATATAGGACTCAAAACAACTCTAAACCAATTTCAAAGTGAGAATATTCAATACGAACGTCAAGACAGTTGGTTTTACTGTACGGATTTGAAACGTGGAGAACTACTACAACCATCGTTAAAAAGGTGCAAGTATTTGTAAACAATTTTTTACACCAAATACTCAACATTCATTGACCGGATACTGTCATCAACAGTGTTTTATGTTAGAGGACAAACCAGTTTCCAGCTGAAGAGGAAATTAGGAAAAGATATTGGAAGTGGATAAGACATACATCCAAATGCATCACAAAGTAAGCCCTAACTTGGATACCTGAAGGGAAGTTGTTATATCCTAGCGAAGACATAAGTAACGAATTGGCATGCGTACTATTTTTTAAAAAGTCATAACAGAAGTGGAAAAGAGGAAGGTCAAAGAACAAATTACGTCGGGAAATAGAAGCCGATAAGAGAAGGATGAATAACAACTGGAATGAACTGGAAAGGATCGTCCAGTACAAGGTTGGATGTTGAATGCTGGTGGGCGGCCTATGCTCCTCCACGAGGGGTAACAAGCCTAAGTAGGAGTAGGTAACTTGTTACTGTTACGCAAACTAATATACTTGATCTACTAAACAAAAGAAGATTGTCATGATTCAAAAAAACTTATAGAAATTCATAAAATTCTACTTCCATAAACTCGTGACACAGATAAAACAAACCGAAAAACATTTCCACGATTAATTTTAAAGCAAGATAGGAAGTGACTCACCAGGTTTACCAGGCGTTGGTTTTGTTCCATTGACAACTGAGAAACAAAAAGAACACAATAAAACGTATTAGTAAAATGAGGAAAGTAAGGCAATACTGTAATACAATTTCAAAAGTTAATTATAATTATAAAATACTTATGATAGTTACATCTGGGTCAAATCTATTGGGCAATAACTTATCTTCAAGACGAATGTCAAGACTGTTCAACTGTTAGATAGTAATTAAATTAACAAATGAGTTTACTGTGCCACTACCTTTACTACCTTTAATTTCACGCTTATTGAAATGATTCGAATTGTTGGTAAACGAACAATTATTGAGCTGTATAATCCTCCATAAAATATTCAGTGTCTTTTTTCTAATATACTTAATATACTTGAAGCAGCTTAAATTCTTCTTTTGTCCATTTACTAAAATATGAACTATTATTTCGTTGTCATTCACAGAGTCAAGGAGTATAGAACCGATTGTTTTTAAATATATTTATATCAGCATTGTTTGTGTAAGCTGTTTCGAACCCAATTCGCCAAATCTTTATAAGCGGTGCTCTTTAATACCTGTACCATCAACTATCATATTTTGTAGGAGTTGATTATTCTCAATTCGCATGACTCATTGTATGTTCAACCGGATGTACCTGCAACTCAGAGTTGATGTTCACTCTGGAACTCGAACCCATTACCTGACGAGTCCCAAATAGGATGAAGCGCGCGTCCTGGATTCCACCGCTAGTCACTATCCATCTTTACTTACTATCCCAATACAAATTTACGTATTCATTAACGGATCTCAATAATGTGAAAAACTTTCGTTAAAATATGAACTTAAAGAAAATCCGGAAGAGTCATAGCATTAGTTGCCAGTTTTCCAATGATAAATTTTCAATAGTAATCGTGTGAAATAATGCACTCACTTTTACCACTTCGTGGGATTTCCTGGCGTGTTGGCTTTGGAACAGAGGGAGCTGAAAGAAAATACATAAGTCCTATGCTTATTACATGGAAAATGAATGCTGATTTCATAAAATAACGTTTAATTTTGCTTGTATTATTTGCTTTATTTTCATTAATGTATAATTCCATAAAGATTATATTTGAATTATGTTAATCAATGAAAGTAAATAGTCCACTATCATGTAATTTGGAATCATTTTACTATCACTGGTATATGTCTGGTGTTTGTATGAACTAATGATTCCTTTGTACTTGATTGGCTGCCTGATATCAAATTCCAAATACAATACATTCGTTCTTGCTCATCTAGTACTTGTCGGTTAAATTGTGTTGTTTCTGAGATTCCTAGTTTGTACTATAATTCAAATACTCTTAATTATCAAAACATAATTTCCCTTCACAGCATATTAAGAAGTACTGTAAATATTTGAACCGATATGCACTCACCTACTGTAGATTTGTGAGATTGCGTATTAGGTAAACCTAGGAACGTAAGCAAAATGTTAATCAGTAAGGCAAGATTTTTTATGCAAAACAATTGGTTAAGGATTGTGAAAATAGTGTGAAAAGTTTTTTCTCGTGTACAAAGAGGTGAACTGAGAGAAGTGATAGGATCCCGTCACTTTTGGTAAAAACACTTTATTGATATTGATAAGAAATGATGTTTCAAAGGCTGAAGTTTTTACTGGAATAGTTTGGTAAAGTAACTTCTGCTGACGATGAAGAAAGACAAACCGTTAATTATAATAATGATGACTCATCGATGGATCCTCTGGTCAGTAAGAAAGAAGCTGTATCACGATCACTTTACCACTTCAGACCAGATACGTTCAGTTGTCCCGAAAATATTCATCCCCAAAATTATGAAAACCATGGCTGATGTAATTGCCAAACCTCTGACAAAACTCTCTGATGTATCTCTGCTGTAGTCTAAACTGTCAAGTGTAAAGACTGAGTTTGTAACAGTCAGCCCGTTAGTTCAACTGTCGTAGTCGCCAAACTAAGGTACAAGATTATTTAGGAGGGTATTCTAAACCACGTGAAATGGAATAATCTTTTAACTAGGAGACAATTCGGTTTTCTAGAAAGGCTTTTCATGCTCAACATATCTTTGTCTCTCGGTGTCTCTTGAACTCTGAACAAGAAACCGAATGTGAAGATTGTAAAAGGAGGTAAACTTTTAGGGTTTGTTCATGCAAAAAAAGCTTTATTTATCTGATTGCAGGTGACCTTTAGATTTCAGAAGTCCCTTATAACGATTTAAAAACGGTCCTTATGAGTTTCTTAGTGAGTTTCATGAACTCCTCAATTAAAAACTAGTCCCAATAAATTGAAGATAAAACAGCACATCCTTAGTCTCATTGAAATGTACCATTAACCACATGCCACGGTTAATAATATTCGAACCCTGTATAAAATCAACTAACGAGCTTCTATCGATAAACCTTCCAAGTCCTGTGGTACAAATGTCCTCTGTTTCTGAAATCGGTATATATTCTCAATATTATGTTAATTTACATCAATCTACACTTACTCGTAGTGTTCGTAGAACCTTTTTGACTTGGGTTTGGAAGTGTACATGTATCTAAAGAATTAAGAAATGTGTGTTGCGTTTACTACTTGAACAATGTAGCTCAATGACATCGAATGATGTTTAACTATGATCTTAATAGCAACATCAGTTTCAAAATAATAGTTTTTATAAAGATTGTATTTAAACTATACTAATTAGCTCCAGAATATAGTACAAATTATACTCTCACCTTTACCGTTGCATGAAGTCCCATTATTTGATTTCTGTGGTGTGTGAATATCTAACCGAAAAAAAGGCTAATTATTTTCATGTTCTGAAGGAAGTGTCATAAAACTAATAAGATTCAAATAATGTCTTTTCATCACCCTAAGGAAAGTTTGACTTGAAATTAATGAACACCAAGGTAAAATTTCGATAGAGTTAAATCAGTAAAATTGTTTGGGAAGTTTGTTTCAGAAACATATAAATGGTCTATATCAACTGGTATCGGATAGAGTTATAATATATGGATCATGGTCTAATCCATAGGATGTTGATTACTTTAACACAGACTTAGTAAGTGTGACATCTAAAGATTTAGACCTACACAAAATGGAAAATTATAAGTTTTGGTAGCTATCCATCAAGTTATTGTAATTTCAGACTCGATGTTTAAGACTCAGTCGGTAATAAACTTTTTTTGGATTTTAAGTTAGGTTTATGTTTGAATTTGTGAAATAGTTATCCTTAACACCTTCAGAAATTAATCCCAAATAAATTAAATATATTCAGAGAATAAGTAATGAGTTCTCATAAAAAGTACATAATTCTATTTTGATCAACACTGTATTACATGTCGTATAGAAAATTTATGAATTCACAATTTATATAACACGCCATTATGGTTAGATATAATATTTACATCATTTGTCTAAATATTACATGATTGAGATGATGAGTCAATTGAAGCTAGACCACTATGGAAAACCTGGAACCACTGGACGGCCGTTTCGTCCTATTGTGGAACTTCTCAGCAGTGCACATACACGATCCCATTTCGTGAGCGAGATTCAAACCCAGGACCTACCAGTCTCGCACCAGAGCACTTAACCGATAGACCACTGAGCCGGTCGGCATCCAACGGTGTTAGTGTCTAATTTAAACTAATCCTTGAAATTGAGCAACCGTTCACCTATTGTCTTCAGTGAGTTGATATCTCACAACAGGACTGGTTGAACTCTACTAGTCACTGCTTCTCACTAGAACTCCAGGAAATACCTCTTGGAGCCAGTCAGGGGTCTCACATTAGGACGAAACGTCAATCCAGTACTTCCAGGTTTTACATGGTGGTCTCCACAAAAACCCCTTCTGATAAATATTATATCTCGAAGATTAAATATACTGATTATTGTCAATAATTCAATTTGTTTCTGTTAAGCTTTTAGCAGAAATCTAAAGTTAAAATCTCGGTGAGAATATTACACGGAAAGACAATCTCACAGTACATATATAAACAAAAATATTAACAGTTCCAAACAAACCAATAAGCCTTAGCAGTCCTCACTAGTGACTGGCTTCAAGAGGTATTTCCTGGAGTTCTGATGAGAAGCAGTAATCATTGGAGTTCAACCGGGTCTGTTGTGAGATATCAACTCACTGAAGACAATGGTGGACGGTTGCTCAATTTTGTGGATTGCTTGAAGTTAGACATCTCTAGAAAGTCAGATGGAATGGATCATCAATAAATTATGAATTCTTACTAAGTACCCATTCATTTTCAATGTTAATCTTATGAAATGAACTATACTTACAATGATCTGTTAAATTTTTCAAGTTTAATGTTTTTGAAGCATTGGAATCTGGAAAAATAACACACGTTACATGATTTATACAAGAAAAATACAAAATGATTTGGTAGAATAATGTTTACTTATGGTTGTAATTGATACCTTAACTTCTTCAAAACTCAATACGATTGTAATTTGCAATGCTTTCCAATAAAACTATACTGATGAAATAATTAAAAACATTAACTATATATATATTATGCCAAATTATGTAACACAATTTACCTACCTGATAATTTACTTGGATTCCTGATTCCTGATGTTGTATGTTCAACTGACAAAATAATAATTCAATTTAAATGTTTATGTTATACAAAAGTAGGATAATAAATAAAATTTCAATATTAGAAGGGGGTTTTGTGGACATTTCGGTAATTTCATATAGTTGAAATCATGAGTCAATTGAATCAGTGACCAGTGGAGTTCAACCAGTCCTGTTGTGAGATATCAACTCACTGAAGACATTGGTGAATGGTTGCTCAATTTCGTGGATTGGTTGAAGTGAGACACTAACACCGTTGGATGCCGACCGGCTCAGTGGTCTATCGGTTAAGTGCTCTGGTGCGAGACTGATAGGTTCTGGGTTTGAATCTCGCTCATGAGGTGGGATCGTGGATGTGCTTTGCTGAGGAGTTCCACAATAGGACGAAACGGCCGTCCAGTGGTTCCAGGTTTTCCATGGTGGTTTAGCTTTAATTTACTCACCAATTAATTATTGTTTTTATTAAAAAACATTAAAAAAACAGGTAGAATGTAAGAAAACCAAACTATATCTATAACAATATCATCAATTGTAGAATCAACTTACACTTTGCATTAGCAATGAAATATAAAACGTAAATTAAGATAATTGCAAACATGATGTTATAAAAGTTTTAAAATTCTTTCATCTTTTTATATAAATAAATTACCACAGATTATTTTCAAATGGTTTCATTTTTTTTTCTTTTTTTTGTTTTTTTTCTCTGTTTTCTATATTTACATAAATCTACATTTGTTTTACAAAAAAAGAAAAAATAAAGGAAGGAAGAAACAATACAAGATTATTTACGTATCAAGTTAAAATAAACTTAATACAAATGAACGTAATCAAATTACAATTAATGTATCAAATTATAACGTTATTATGAATTACAAAAATATAATAATAGTAAGATAAACAAATGAATAAATCATTATGATGATTATTGTATAAGTAAATAATAAAAACATTAATTAAATTTTCATAGTTGAAAGCATGAGTCAATTGAAGCTAAACAACTATGGAAAACCTGAAAGCACTGGACGGCCGTTTCGCCTTATTGTGGGACTCCTCAGCAACGCTCATCCACAATGCCGACTCGTGAAATTCGAACCCAGAACCTATCAGTCTCGCGCCAAAGCACTTAACCGATAGACCACTGAGCCGGTCGGCATCCAACGGTATTAATGTCTCACTTCAACCAATCCACGAAATTGAGCAACCGTCCACCATTGTCTTCAGTGAGTTGTTATCTCACAACAGGGCTGGTTGAACTTCACTGGTCACTGCTTCTTACTAGAACTCCAGGAATTACCTCTTGAAGCCAGTTACTAGTGAGCATATGATTATAATCAGAAGGGGTTTTTTGTAGAGATGAAAGCATGCTTTCAACTATGAAAATACTATATCTCCACAAAAAACCCCTTCTGATTAATTAAATTGTTATACTCCATTTTAATTCTAAGATATTCATGATAGTTACAGTTGCTTATCTTATTTTGTTAACTTTAATAAATGTGACAAATATCATTTCCTCAGTGTGATTAATAACTTCTGGATGACCTTTGAATGACACCAAACTGACCTTGAGAATGTTCCACAACTTACTAAGGTTAAATGAGGTTTATAAATCTATGTGAAAAGTAAATATTATGATTTGCAATTGATGGTTAGGTTAGCAATTGGATTTAGGTTTATAATAGTCACAAACTGATATCAATTTAAATGTCAAAACGCTATTTAGTCAAATTGAGGGATGAATTTCATGCAAAAATCCAAAACTTGTTATCCTAAATCTGATTGATTTGTCCATAAATTATAATCTCACCATTTCCTCTACTTAGTTATTCAGTGGTATATAATATAATTTTAATCTAGCCATTAATGATAATCACCAGTTAGAATGGATACAACATAGAAGTACTTTTGCTTGACGTTATGATTTTGGAATCGACTGACAAGCTTTGAACCCAGTTTTTATATTAGTTTACACTCATCATCAAGGTTCATCTACATTCCTGAAGGTTATACTGTTACCATGGTATCAAAACTGGCATCGCCCAGTGTTATAGTAAAAAATGTTACTACTGGGCTCGGTCATTAAAAAAGATAGAAACTATGGCTTAAATTCTTATTTTATGACTAGATTACTTATTAGTAAACAGGATTCGTGCCCTTTTTTCTATCTCACTGGTTAAATTAATTATCAACAAACTGGTTATGCTCTTATTGGTTGAAACATATCTCACTTAGTTACTTTGACCCCATCAATTTTACGTTTGACTGCTTTTGTTGTCTTACAAACTTCGGTGTAAGCCTAATTTTAAATAATTATGATTAATTGTAGAATCACATACATGTTTTAGATATGCCTATACATAAATATATCCGAGTGACCAAGACATTCTTCTAACATTAACCTTGTATGAGTTATTCAAGTGAACTCAACCGTGATTCTAGTGAATCTGATACTATGAAAGACACTGCCAACTGACATTATTGAAATGTAATGAATCGAACTAGTTTGTGGTATTTGTACTAATTGATAAGTACTTTGTGGACGTTCATCCGCTTTATTATTAATCAATAAAATCAATTCATGTAAGCTTGCCAACTATTCACCATATCTATAATTCATTGGGATAGGTCTGGAAACTCCCGTCTCACCATTTAAAAACAATACGACCATTTATCCTCTTTGGTGTCGCGGTAGAGTCTGGTACTGAATAATTCAATGCCATTTCAACAACTGGTTTGTTTACAGAGCATATGTATGGCTTTGAAATTTTATGAAAGAACAGAAGAGAGATAAGATAAGATGAAACTACAGCTTGACATATTCATCAGAAAATGAATGACATATTCACCCTTTGTAAATTAAGTACAGAAGAAATAGGTATTCTTGGGCAACTTAATGAAATTCACTCTGCTATTAATTTCACAGATGAAAAGTTATCCATGGACAGGATAGCCTCTTTAAATGTTCCACTTACAAGAAGATCAATATGGATCAGCGAGAAGGAATTTAAACAGGAACAGCACTTGCATGGAGTAGCATAGATATTTCCTAAGCTTTCTATCTCTGCAACACAAAAGAAACTTGATAAAAGAAATATTTTGCCATAGAATAAAACTCATATGTTCAATTGATAAAGTTAAAAAGAAACTGAATCCATTGAAAAGTACTCTCAACGAATCAGATACCCTGGGAAGTTTACAAATATATTATCACAAACGTTAGAGTAAGATATGTGGAAACTGTGAATACAAAATTGTTGTTCATCATCCTACAATTTAGAGGTGACGCTGCCAGTGAAATAATAACCCAGAGAAGTCCAGATAACGTTCTATCCAGTAAATTTACAACGGATGTTTTTCGCGTATCCTATAGTGGCACTGAAACTAAACGACGACTTATCCAGGCGAACCACTCTTTTCATGGTAATCAAAGCAACTACTCCAGTAGAACAATTTACATCGGCCGATGTAAGGTATGAACAATAGAGTTAAGAGCTCAAATTGGTCTAAATAGATCATAGTACCTGCATAAATCAGTCGTTTTTTTATAGTTTATCATATAATTAGCTGCCTGCAAAATCATAAACATAAACCACTTTCTTTATTTTCTGTCAGAATTACAATGAAAATTTCGTTTGAATCATTGATGTTCCACTAAAAGATCTTGAAATAAGAGTTGCATTATTGCTGTCACTTGTTTGACCACAGTATAATCTTCTTACAATTAATCGTAAATTATGTCAATATAATATATACACTGTACTATTATTAAGCTACAAATAAAATCCGAATGCTGTTATTCATTAAGGAATAAAACACTTTGTGCACTACTCGATACTAGTGACAGGAAGGTGGGGAAAATTTACTTATACTATATAACCATCAATAATTTTATGTCAATTATTCGACGAAATATAATTTGAATAAAGTTTTGATTGTACATTGCTATTACCTAGGGAACAATTGAAAATCAATAATAAGAAGTCTGGATCATTCCTCAGTATGGAGTTGTTACATGTCACTGTAATCACGAGCCGATTTAAGTTAGATGACCGTTGGAAACCCGAAGTCACTGGACAGCCGTTTCTTCCTAGTATGAGACTTTTCAGAAGTGTTCATTTATGACCCCAGCATTAGAAGATGGTCGCGCAATATTGTGGATTGATTGAAGTCAGACTTGCACACCACTTGATACTGGTTCAGTGATGTGGAGATCAAGCTTTCACTTCCGAGACTGAAGGTCCTTGGTCCGAGCCCCGGTTGAGGGGTCATTCATGAACATCTCTGAGGAGTCCCACACTAGGATTAAATGGTCTTCCAGTGTTTTTAGGTTTTCGATGGTTGTCTAGGTTAGATCGATTTGTCAATCATTACTGTTTGCCAATGAGTTCTTTAATTAGATATCTTTACGCACATTCTTTGCACCTCACACTGATTACCGTTCCCTAAGTACAAATACTTCATGTATTACATTATATTTTGTTTTAATCCGCTCTCAAGCCAACTGATCTTTAATATATCTGCCACACGCATTCACAAGTTGTACTTCTCAGTGTAACCTGATAAATCATGTATCATTAACTTAGATTAGACCTTGTATTTTGAAATTATCTGTTCCCTGTTTTACTTGTGTACATATTTTTGAACTTAATGAACACGTAGCCATTAATAACTTCCAAGTAACTCCTATATCATATATATATACTATTAACTCGCTTTTATAAGATTTTTTTGTTAATTGGTATCGCTGTTAAATAAATACTTACACTTTTGGTCCATTACAAACGATTATTCTGACATCCCGAATCATTCTCTTTAGTTAAATAACTCTGTCTTTGGAAATATACCAAACAGTCATAAATGTATATAAATATTGTAAAAAATCAAATTCATCACAGTCCCTTCACATGCGTTTACCATAATTCCCAGTTTTTCAACGTTTATCAATTCGTAGATATTGGAGTATGTTTTAGACTTATTTATGGATTATTATTTTACTACTAGTTTTGGAAGTATGTGCACTCTTGTGTGTACATTGATTGTTCTTGTGTAAATTGGTTATTGGTGTCTTAATCTTACTGTTACAGAAACCTGTTCGATGTTTGGCAGGGACGTTCAGTACTACTGTATGTTTCTCTCACTTTTTTTATGTAGTTATTATTTTATAGTTTGATTAGTCTTTTCACCTTTCGAGCAAATTGAATTGATATTTCCTCTTTTTCAGGTACAAAATGTTCCTTTGCTTGGCAGGGACGTTTTTCTATTTGACATACAGTCGGTTCATACTCTTAACGATTCACTCACACATTGTCCTACAGCTTGATTGTACAAAGTCTTGTAGTGAAGATTGTTTGTGTTTGTTGAAGAAATCATTGCTTGTGTATACTTTACTTATTCTGCACTTATGTTACTTCAACATTGCCGCTTAGGTACGTTTTTATTAGCTATTATATACAGTTATTGCTAATTATCATCTCTTAATATAATTAAACTTAGAATCTAACAGCAAAGAACTACTGAATTCCCTGGAATTCCAGTTTCTTGAATAACTCAGTTCAAAAGAAATTTTTTGTTTAATGTTATAGCAACTATCCTACAATCGATTTTGAGTATGGTGTAGTGTAGTGCTTCGTTAATCGATCGTCTTGATAACCGTTATTATAACAATCTGAACGGTGTACAATATCAGAAGACAAAGGGAAGCAGCAACTACATTTTTATTGACAAATAACATAGACTAGAAGGCAGTAAGCACATGAGTAAATGTTAGCGAGCGAAAAAAAGTAACATACATGGGAGATGGCTGGTAAGCCAACTCGTTATAAGCAAGCATTAATCAACATTTATAGTCAGACTAAAATGAATGACAGACATGTGATAGGTAGGATAAGAAGTGTGCATACACATACGCTAATATAAAGAAATAGTCAAGGTCAATAAGGGAATAATTAACAAGATCAAAATATGACTCATAACGTTATAGGTGAATTGGCTTGTCCAGAAACTAGAATAAGCTATGTAGGTGTAATATAGTACACGACGTTACACTACTCCCCACAATGGTCAATTTTGGTAAAGCCTTTTTATTAACTTAACAGACATCGTCATTTGGATAATAACAATTTGCATATTTCTTTGTACTGTTATGACCACTAGAGTATATGACACTCTAGCCAAAATGTTGATTGCTTAAGTACCATTCGATGACTCATACTCCGCCGCCATTTATGTATGCACCCAAATCCTATTATCAGCTTTTGTTTTGCTGTGCCCTAATTCAATTTGACTATAAATTGCCTATGTAATTGCTTGCTGCTCGCTCGCTCAATGATATTCGCTCATGTGCTTGTAAGTTTTTGGCCTGCGTAATTTCACAATAAACTGTAGTCGCCGCTTCTCTTTGCCTTCTGATTTTATGCACCGATAAGATTGGTATTATAACGGTTATCGAGGTGATCAATTAACGAAACACGTTACTACAATGTTTAGCTATAAAAGGTATTTCCATCTTGTGGAGAGGAAGTATTGTATGGCAAGCGAAGTGTGATTAAACCTAGCCAAACTACTTTGTTATGCTTTACATCCCCTCACCATAGAGGACTTATTATCAAACATAATGTTATTTGTTTCAAGTTAGAATGAACAGCAATGATCACCGTGATTAACATTGTGTGGTTGGATATGTTGGCGTGGTCATATCCTGTTTTTGTCATTCAATCATTTCTCTTTCACACTAAACCTAACTCTTCCTGATGAGAATTTATTTATTCTGCACATCTTACTAAATAAGCAGAGTACTCTGGAGACAAGTTTAGAGTGAAGCAGTATAGAAAATGTGTAATTAATGATAAATGATAAATCTTTTGTCGGAAATTTTCCGCTTCGTTTATTTTCATTACAATACATTCATGTGCACATATGGTTTTCAAAAAGTAGTTCATTCATGACTATTAGAATACGTTTCGGATAGATACTTTGATGTCTGTACATAATGATGACTGCTTTGCAGGTTATTATTACTCACATTATTCTAATTTGAATATAATGCATTCATTTGCGTTCAAGGTCTTTATTCGAGTGTTGGCTTATTCGTAACTGTCAGAGAACATTTGGGATAGACCTTGAAATTACTAGTTCTTACAATACATCCCATATTAATAGAGTAGTTCACCCAAATATTTGTGAGCTTATCATTAAATTTTTACAGTTCTACACATTCAGTTTATTTTTCTGCAGCAGGACTGTTTGACAACACCTCATACTCTTCCGTCAGTTTTTAATTCTCTATGAAGGTCTTTCAGATTTTGTCTACTGGCCATGCTCTGTCCGAGTAAACGTTTTTATGTTTTACATCTTTAGTCCTTCATAACTTTATAATCGATTATAACTGTTTTCGCCTGAACCCAAGCGTTACTCATAATTAAAAGTTTGCACAACACTAGAGGCGAATTTGCAAATCATAGGATCTGTCTCATTGACAAACTTGGCAGAACTACTACTTATTCTACTTGGGATCGAGTTGAAGGCGGTTATCGAACAAATGAATATGAGTTCAAGTACTGACTTAGTTGAAGATTATGTGGATCGATATGGGATTTGTGGCATGACTAAAAAAGGTATCTAAGTCGATGAAAATTCAGTTAAGTTCCTTTTAGTCGTCAGCAAGGATGTGTAGTGACCTGCTTTTCCCGATGAGAACGCGATTGGTGTAATGGAAACAATTATTATAACCAATTGTACCAGTGATTGTTTTACTGCACTCGCTGTTATTTAACTGTATCGAAATCGCTTTCCGTTTGGTCGCCCGCCTTGTTTATTCTTTCTTACTCTCTGCTCTTATTGCCTGTACTCATTGGTACGTCTCGGTATTCTTTCGATACCACGAGATCGCCAATAAATATACGTTATCTGGACTAATTACAGTCTTCTGGTTTGCGAGTTATCGAAGGAACCAAGTCGATTTTGGGCGCGTAATCTTGCTGTAGTGGTGATCATAGTCAATCAAGACTCGACGCTATCTACAGATGCATAATTCTGATGGAAAACCTATCTTTCTAGAATGAATATATATTGCATTACCGTATGAAACTCTCCACTTCTTACTAAGTCATGTAGGGTGCGACAACGTTGAATGCTGAGAGAGGGTGGAATCCATAAAAGAGTTAGCCGAAGTGACCAGAAAGTTAAAGGTTTTATATTCAAGCTTATAAAAGCACGCTAAATGAAACTTTGGATACCGATTTCATATTCAGTTACTTGACCGACCGATTGCTGGGATCAATATATCTAATTGTTACGTTCACTATCGTTATAATTGGTGTCTGAGGTTAAATGAACTACGTAAAAACTAGAATACAAATGTTCTTGAATATGTATTTAAGTAATTGAATCCACTAGTATATATAGTAGTAATAAACAAGTGAATTACAATTCGGGCTGAGTGGACACTACTAGACTGGAGTAATATTAGTATTGGATTAACACCAGAATTAAACTACTTCGTAACTGAATGGGATTTATGTTGACACTGACACTTAGGATCGTCAGTAACTGTATTTAAGTGTAAATAACATCAGCAATGCAATATCCAGAAATTATAAGCAAAAATGGATAGTGACTAACGGTGGAATCCAGGACCCGCGCCACTTCGTCCTATTCGGGATTCGTCGGCTGGATGTACCTGTATCTCAGAGTTGATTTTGACCTTGGGACTCGAACCCAGTGCATTTCGCTTCAAATCCCATCGCGTTCTCCACTCAGCTACTGAGTCGTGACAGCCACTTGCTTGTGCAATGGGGTGAAGTTTGAACTCACTTGATATTTTTTGTTTGAATCTCCACATTGATGTTTAGGAGTGCGATTGATCAGCCTCGATATAGCTTTAAGAGACTGATCAATTGCAGTCCTAAACATCAATGGGAAGATTCAAACAAACAATACCAAGTGAATTTAGCATCCAGAAGTTGCTTAGTAGAGAAACCAATTTGGTGTTGAATCAGACCAGTCTGATTTGTAATGCGTTAATATGAATACAAACTGCCCAGTGTCAGTAAGTTAGTGTCTGAAATGTTTATGCATTTGTAGTAACCATCTTTTGTGACGACAACATGATTGATATAATGGATACAATTATTATTATAACCAATTGTACCAGTGATTGTTTTACTGTACTTGTTCGTTTAAGTGTACCGAAAAGACACTCTTCTGTTGTTTTTTGACCTTGCACGAACTCCAGTACGCTCGGTAGTTCCGATTGTAAACTTTGGCACGTCTCGGTATTCTTTCAATACCACGAAATCGCCAAAAATATATCTTTTTTCAACCGTCAACTGCCTTCTGGTTTTGGCTTACGGAGGGATCCAACTCGATATCTGGCACGTAACCTTCCTGTAGTAGTGACTATAGTCAATCGCGACTTGACACCATCTACACGTCACTGCAGTAATGGATGACGATTAACAAATAGATAGATGGATAAACAACTAGACAAAGGGATATTGGAGAGACTCACGCATCAGTCATTTAAATTTATCACACAACTGAGGACAAACTAACGAATAGAATTGGACTAATTCACTTGGCAGTCACATGCTCTGTTAGACATAGTATTTCAAAATGAGTACACAATTATATTCATTTAATATGTCTATACTAAATACCATACGAATCTTGAAATAAAATTGATACAGGTATCTCTATTCCCATTCCACGATTTTGAGGTTCCATGTCTTAATCATGAAGCGGTAAATGGACTTGCTTTTTAGTCGTTTAAGACTTCTGGTACATCCCTCATTTATCTTAACCAAATACATACTCATAGTTGTGTAAGGGCAGTGAAATGTCAGTGGGCTCTAGCCAAATTATCCGGCAGTCGGGTCAATGAATATAGAACGGCTCACTAATCCTCCTCAAGGTCGGGAACAGCCAACGTGCATTAGTTAATTGCACGCTACGGAATGGCCCATGTGGTGTTGGTCGCAACTTCCCCCTGTACCTACTTTTACTAATGTATATCAGTAATAATGTTCTTTGTGTTATACGGTCATCAAAGCAGCCATTGTACCTTGATGCGACGAAAGGGTAATACACGTTAGGTGCTTGCCGCGAGGTGTGACTTCGAAGTTAGCTGTTGACCACAATAGTCTCGTCTAACTCTAGTAGGCCCCCAATAATTTGACATAGATTATCTACGTTGGCAATCTACAGTTGTATAAACCCGCCTTTAGTCGACACTGTTTCCCATTCTCGTGAAAATACAACAAATAAGAAAGTGGTGAATAAAATTAAAAACATGTTTGATAAATATCTGATTCTTCGTACCTTCTACTCACAAAGTAATTTCGTCTTCACAACTCCAGACTTGGGAATATTGGTCACACTGAATCCGTGCAGGGTACTACTCATTTCACTGCCTGTGATAATAAACCCCGTAATCTGAATTTTACTGATAGGGCGGATTATAATGATCACGTGCTTTTTCTGTTTACAACTTTCACTAATCTACTTTACAGTCAAAAACGATTATATATAACTGGTAGCATGTCTCATAACTTCATACTGAGATGAGAGACATCAGATGTAAATTATTAAAAAGGAATTGAAAATCGTTGGGCTCCAATGTCGTAACTAAACAATAAAACTCTTGAGTATTATTGATTATAAACTACTCATTCTCGATGTTACAGTTTACTGGAGAATGATGAAAATGCTTCATTAACGAACTGAGAATGTCAAGCCACTGAAAATGAAATATCAGTACTGTGACGAATTTAGAAGTGATTCAAGTACCAACTCTTTCAGTTACTTCTGGAAGTAATACTGATAACTTGTTCATAGACTTCACTACTAATAATTCAAATTTGTACTTGTAGGGTCACTGAATATCGAACAAATCACTGACCCTTGTCAAGGTCAAGGATAGTCAACGCGCACAAACCAATCGTACGCCATGGACTGGTTATTCTTTCACTTCTGTACTTCCGTAGTTGTACCTTAACTAATATATTCTTGTAATAACGTCCTTTGTGTTGTACAGTCTCCATAGCATCTATTATCCTTTGATGCGTCGATGGTTCAATCCACGTAAGGGCTGGTCGCGAGGTGTGACTTCGGCGTTAATTGGTTCGTCCCCATTCTCGTCTAACTATAGTAGGCCCCCGATCATTTTGACATAGATCATCAACGTAGACGATCTTACACTGGCGAGCAAGACTTCGAATAACGCAACCTATCATTATGTTCTTTTTTTTACATTTTGTACTTATTATTTTCCATTTTTAACTTCGTCTATCTTTATCAGTTTCTGTGAACATTCGTTGCTTCATATCAATGTTGATTAGTATTTCAACTGAAATAATTAGTTCAATCGATAGAACTAACCAATCAACTACGACTGTAATCGACTATCGTGGTTCTTTAACAAGCATTAGCAGCATGTAAATGCTCCTGTGTAATATGTCTGTTAAAATATCAACCACTCGTAAGTATGGCCTCAAGGCAACACGTACGCATATCTGTTTGCAACTTATCCACTTGTATAACCAATACAGGATAAACTGCCGATTATTAAATTCATCTTTCTGCTTATTCACTGTCAACTAACTACTATCAAAAACTATCTACTAGAATATTTTACTTTCTTGACCACTGCCTGCCTAATTTCCAATTGCTGAGTTCCATGGCGAATCAGAGGATACAAATGCTAGAAATTTACGGTGAGTTTGAACTATAAATTTCCTGCAATGTTAGATCTTGTTTAAACTTCGTCAGGCAATTCTACGTGTTCAACCTAAATTAGACTTATTCCAATTCAGTCTACAACGTTTCGTTAATCTGCGAAGTTAATCCACAAATTTCAATTACTTTGGAGCAAGAGTAATCCAGGCGAGTTTCATAATTGAGTTAGTTAATTTCGTATAATGTTTATAAGGTCTAACATTTTGCGGCTACTTTCACTTAAAGTAGTCATACATTCTGTCACTGCCGTCAAATGTTAGTCGAAACTACTTACATTTATGACTTGTAAGTCAACATACTCCGAAAAAACGTATTTCATGTACACGAGCAATCTTAGTCCATGTCTTAATGAGACACTTCGTCGTACTTGATGTCACTTAGAGCTAGATAATATGCTTTTTTACGAAACGATCACGTTATCTAAACCTAAACTTTAGTTACATTGGTGGTTACCATTTAGATTAATGTTTACTATGCGCTTTTTTTTGTTTGCTGTTATCTCATACAGTAAATCATGACTCGATTTCCTTATTGCACGAAAGTCACTTTAATTCCGTCTTCGGCTTATTCACATGCAATACGGGTTTGGAAAATATCTAAACGTCTTCTGAAATTCTCCACAAACCCCACGATAGTCTTCGTATATGTTTGCTACTGCACATCCAATTGCTACATAAACAATGCCCAAACGAATGTCCAGTACAATTGTCAGTATACGAAATGATATTACTTCGATGTGACATTACAACACCTCCGAACTATTGTAGTTATTCAACTTCGACGTCGTATTTTTATGTTATGAAGTATTGTTTCCGCGTGGCTGTTATCTAACAGATGATTTCGGTACATCAATCGGCTGTTCAACAACTCGACGATCTAAAGCCTGTCCAGTTCAATTGGTGGTTTGACGACACCCATTCACGCGAATCATCGGTTTACGCAGTCGAGCGCATCTCCTGCAAACTGACAACGATATTGTCGTCTCGACCCCAACACTGACAGCATTTTTCACCGATATCATTGACATGAGTCCAGAGTGACACTCTTGGTTTCTTATGTTCTTTTCGACATTTTTCGGTTCACTCATCAAACACGTGTGCAGCACCCACCGTTTATCATCTTTCAGAGATTTCATCGTGCCACCTATCGCTCTCGATCTGTATTTCTTCGACCCTTATTGATTTTCACAGCAGTTATCAGTTTTTCCAAACTGGCTGCAAGTTGATCAGAAGCTTCGCACAAGGAAACCACGACTTATCTTCACGGCTATACTTCTGTACTTACAGTTAGTCTGTTAAATATAGATATAACTAGAAATCGACGCTTACGAACAGTTGTCAGCGACACTTACCAATAATAATAATAATAATATATTCTGAAAATAATATTTACAGAATTCACACCAGTTTACAGGCATGATCAGATTGTTATAAAAATCAACATTTAATGTAGAGAACAAACATGAATTATAAGGTTTTATGTTTGCTGGTTTAGTAATTGATAAACAGTTTAAATATGGCATATATCACGGCAAGCCAATGCAACACCAGGGAACTTGTCATTTTTTCATCAAGTGGATAGCCTGATGATTGACCAACATTATTCTGTAAGGTTATTACCAGTGCCAGAGCGAGTTATTATTAATTATCTACAACTAGAGAAGGTAAGATTAAAGCAAAGAGCACGGAACAACAAAACAATGATAGCAAGTAAGAAGTTAAACATTTAAAGTTCCTATAATCTCACTTGTGGAGTAAGATACACTTGCAGGCGCTAGAGCATTTAATGCATTTTCAGAGGAGCAAAAAGCATTAATTGAGCGAACAAACAATGGGAAAGAGTTTAACATACGGATAGTTTGGGGTAAATTATTCCAGAGTCTAGAAAACTTACAGGTAAAGTAATTCATATAGAGAGAAGATCTAGAATATGTTTGTTCCGCTAAAGACAAGGAGTTACGAATGTCGTAATGTGAGGCCTTAGCATATTGATTTTCCTGATTTTCCACTTTGTACCAAGGGTAGTACAAACATCGGCATCGATTGACAATACACTTATCGTACTATCACTATGACATCACTACTCTTGCGACAAACTTACCTTTTCACACCTGAGGAACTCAACCACTTGTCAGAGCTATATTTTTCAACGCGACTTGATAAAACTCCAAAATGTTTCTTTTTTTATTATTTCTATGGTTGATCGCTTAACATTCAACCAACGTCCTTGTTACGTGTTATTACTCGTTGTTTCCCGATCAGTTTCTGCAGCCTCGTTTCCATTTCTTTTACAGCTCGGCAATACCCGGAGGATTCATATTAATCGTCTGGCAACCTCCGTCGCTCGACTACTCCCAACTTGTTTGGTATCGATTCAAACGGCTGTTGAATCTGGTGGGGGTGTATTGTAGGGTCACTGAATATCGAACAAATCACTGACCCTTGTCAAGGTCAAGGATAGTCAACGCGCACAAACCAATCGTACGCCATGGACTGGTTATTCTTTCACTTCTGTACTTCCGTAGTTGTACCTTAACTAATATATTCTTGTAATAACGTCCTTTGTGTTGTACAGTCTCCATAGCATCTATTATCCTTTGATGCGTCGATGGTTCAATCCACGTAAGGGCTGGTCGCGAGGTGTGACTTCGGCGTTAATTGGTTCGTCCCCATTCTCGTCTAACTATAGTAGGCCCCCGATCATTTTGACATAGATCATCAACGTAGATGGTCTTACATACTTAATTCTGAAATAGTCCTATTCTAATCCTTAGACATAAAATGCTAAGTCATTTAAAGACTGCACAACGTTACAGGAACTGAAGAGAGGAATGGATGAATTCATTCTGCACAAAAAGCTCATCCTATATTGCAAGACTCGTTTTGTGTTTTTATTCGTATAAATAATGATAACAGTTGTACTTTTATCCTGAAAAAGCTTTCATGGATTTGGAGTCATGTCTCAGCCATGGTTGAGTTGATATGATATGGCTTTAAAAGGTTCATCTAGTACTTTTAATGGTTTTGACTGATAGCATATTTTTCACACCAAAATATTGAAGACAGTGTAATAATTGCAACTGATAAAACTTAAGCACTAAGAAATCGATACTAACCATTTGTTTACGTCAATTATCAGGAGTTTCGTAAGCGAGTGATTTCAGCCTTCTGTAACAGGTCGAAATGATGGGCTTGATATTTATGCTCAGTTGTTTAGGAAAATCTTCCCTATGTCATACAATCTAGGCATAACTACGGTATGGAAACACGGTTGCGCTGCTGCCACATTAATAACTTTGTCATTTTGGGGGCTATTTCATTTGGATTCAACATTCAAACACAGCACTGTGTTGAAAATGAGAAAAAGAGGGGGAAAACCCTAGTAAATAAAGTACTCATAATTTCGGGGGATTTAAAGTCACATCTGGCATATTATCTGAAATAGTTTTTAGACGTATACGAAAATTCAAAATGCCGGTTTTTCATCTTCTGTTTTATAACGATATGATATTCAGTTAAGGGCCATGCTGTTGTCTTTTGACCTTGCACGAACTCCAGTACGCTCGGTAGTTCCACTTGTAAACTTTGGTACGTCTCGGTATTCTTTCGATACGACGAGATCGCCAATAAATATACGTTATCTGGACCAGTTACAGCCTTCTGGTTTGCGAGTTATCGAGGGAGCCAAGTCGATTTTGGACGCGTAATCTTGCTGTAGTGGTGATCATAGTCAATCAAGACTCGACGCCATCTACAAGCTTTTAATAAGGTTATTCATGTACGTCTCATCAATACACTCAAACGATTAGGTACCAAGTCACCGTTAATTGATTGGCTTACTTCACATACAAGCAACCGACAGGACAAACTTTACTTTTCCTCAGGTTACGGAATGACTTAGTGGGGCCCCTCAGGGTTCAGTACTGGGACCTATTATTTTCTTAATTTACATAAATGACCCTCCTCAGCAAGTGTCCCCTGATTTATTTCTTTACGCTGACGTAGTGAAACTCTGAAGAGAGGTGTGAAACCACGATGGTAAACTGGCACTTCAGGAGGATTTAACTCGACCTCCAAATCGGTATAAATCACTTCCAACACTTCAGAGCGTAAATTAGTCCATCTGAGACATGTTGCAGACTACGAATAAGACTTAAGTAACACCCCTCTAGACGTATCCTAAGTTTAAAAAATCTAAAAGTGTTAGTGTCTCGTGATCTAGAATCATAAGTCAACTGTACCAAAAATGCCTCTCGAACAAGCCCTGCACTGTGAACAATTGGGCCCACTTTTGTCCAGTTTGACAGTGGAACTTCCCACGTAATCCTCAGCAGATTTATTTGCTCTTATTTATAGTATGGACATATGGCGTTTTCTCCCTTACTTCAAAAAGATAAGAATACATTGGAACGTATCCAACGGTGAGCCACGAAATCAGTTCGGGAAATCTAATTCAGGACATATGAAGAGCACCCTCAATCACAAAACCTTTATCCATCAGAGTATGGGCGTCTCAGAGGTGACCTTATAATGACACATAGGATCCTAAATACTTCTGGGTATCCCCTTGAACACCTACTTAAGCTCAGCAGCAACAAAAACCTCAGGGAAAAATCCAGAAACTGGGGAGACGACACAACAGAACGGACTGTGGGCACGCCTTTTGCCCTTCACGAATAGTGAAATGCCGGAATTAGCTGACAGCCGAGCTTGTATTACAAATTGCAGGGAGTAATATAGGTCGATAAACCTCCTAGCCTTATTACTGAGAACTGAATAGCGCAGGCGGATTTTCAACCGTAACGTAACAGTATATTCAGAAATACCTTCTTTGCAGTTTTGTGTAGTAAGTGTACAAAATTTCGATGTCGTTACGAGCTTCAAGTGCTTAAATCGCTATACACTCAGTAACTAAGTTCCTTCCTTTTAGTTTCGGCTATATTGACTCTTTGTGAAAGTCATACATTTTGTGTTTGTCTTTTTCTAATATGCTTCGGAAAGTATCTAGTCTTCTCGTGAATGAGTTTATTGAAGGAGCTGTAACTACCTCTTCAAGCAACAGGTTTTAATAGTTGGTTACTCAGTGTGAAAACCTGTATGCTTTGTGTATTGTGTTTGTTTTTGACTTTTGTACTCTCCCGCTAAGTCCTCCAAGTTGTTCACATATAGTAGGGAGAGAGAGAGGATATATCAGACCAAAATCCATTTTTTAGCATTGTATACATCGAAATCAGATAACTTCTTAACCTACTGTAGGATAGAGTAAAGAAGCATAGCTTATCAAGACACTGTATGGTAAACTCCGAGGTTCTGTAATTGCTTGGGTAACTTCCCTCCGTACTTCCACCAAGATATCCGATCCACCTAAACAGGGGCTTGCTGCCTGAACTCAGCTTTTAAGTTTGGATCTCACTAAGATATCAGTCTTCGGTAGTAAGGATAATAGGTCTGTCGACCTATATTACTCTCTGCAATTTGTAACACAGTAGAGGTTCAGTCTCGCTTTGAATGTACCAACAAAATTAGTTGATATCGCGTGTTCTAGCAGAAAGTTTCAGCATCTCAATACTCAGTGAGAGAAACGAAACTTCAGATGTAGACGATTTGATCTCTGTTTTTAAACTTTCATGGAATGTCCTCTCAAATGATCAGTCCTAGATCAAAGGAAGAAATAAAACATATTAATACCAAAAACATCGTTCAGTATACGATGTGCCAATATTAGATCACTCCGTAACCTGAAGTAATAGGTTGAGGCGTCTCAGTCTGTCTTTATAAGATAGACCAGAGAGACCTTTCACCATTTTGATCACTTGCAGTTGAACTTGTTCTGGCATATCTTCCTCATACCTGAAACAAGAACTCGCTACTTGAATCTCATATTCCAAGTTCGAAGTCACGAAATTCAGTGTAATACCCTAAACATTTCTTTGTCCAAGTGCTAAAATGGCTTAAGAGTAGCCCAAAGACCCTGAAGCCTTTGACCGCAGCCTTGTAGTTACTCGTAGTTTTGAGTTCGCTGTTCATTATGACTCCCAGATCTCTATAGTCCATTACTTTAGGTAACACAGCTCCACATGCTGTGTAGTGATATGAATCGTCGCAGTTATTTATTTGCATCACCACACTCTTGTTAGAGTTAACTTCCTAGTGACCACCTATCCATCCATTCAGTCATTGAACTTAAGTCATCCTGTAATGTTATTCTGTCTGTGTATGGACTTACAAATCCTTATGTTATCCGCAAAGAGTAGAACAAATGAATTTGCTACAATTGATAAGTCATTTACATAAATTAAAAAGTAGGACGAAGGGTTGTACATCTGGTAACTCCGCTTTTTACAGATTCCCACACTGGTAGAGCCCCGTTTACCCGTGCCCGTTGCTTCCTATCACTGAGAAAGTAACTTATCCAGTCTATTACCTTATAACGGATTCTAAAACCTGGTTTTAATTTAAGACCCGAATGGGAAACCTTGTCAAATGTTTTACTTAGATCCATGAAAATTTCGTATACAGGAATATTTCTATTTTTCACTGCAGCTCAATCTCTTGCAATGATCAGACTTGCCAAGTATGATAGGCCTTCCCTAAAACCACGTTGTTCTCGGACAGAAGAATAATCTTCTTCACATGGTGTACACTATGGTGAGCATATGAGTAGCCAAATCAATAGATTCTATTCTTAAATCCTATCAACTTTTACTGTGGGGTGTGGTCTTAAAACCGCGGCTCATTGTTACTTCAGGATCATTGGATGAATGGAACTCGGGCACCGATATCATCGTATACTTCACCTTTGTATCCCCTACGGGTATGGAGACACACTTAGTTTCGTTGATAGTCATCAACTATTTTCTAAGCCCCCAAATGCTCTCATACGACCACGCGTATATAGCCTCTGACGGGGAAGTCCTACTCACTGTCTTCTCGCGGTGGGGGTGTTGTCTGCGAAATCGAGAGGACGAAAAGCGAATATCCGGCGCTTTAACGGGGTTGGTGGACACGGAGGGTTCACCTAGGGGAGTTGGGAAACCCTGATTCCAAACCAATGCTGCACATGGGCTCCAGTGTCCTGAAGGGGACAAATGACGTATGAACCAATTGTTGGTCACCGACTACCATGGAACTGCATCTCCTCACGATGCTCGACTGCCTTGTGGATTAGACTTTTAGGTCAAAGGCTTTGAATGTGGCCCCCTAAGTAAACCATCTGCTTCGGTCTGGGCACTCGGGCAGTATCACAGCCCTCACACAAATCGAGTGAGATTTGTGCGGCGCATATGTATCTGGTGCTTCGTTGTACCAATATTTATGTGTTTAAATAAATAAATAAATAAACTATTTTCTAATCCAGCTAATCAGAACATCTAAGTTCGCCTTAATTGCACATGCATCCGCATCTCCTGTTATTTTCCGAAAATGTTTACACCATCAGAGCAAAGCAACATCGGAGATACTCGTGCAACTTGCACAGTGTCCGTATGTGCATACCACGTACACTAAGTAAAATTATTTACCAACCTTCAACGGAATAGATACGATACCATCAAGTCTGGAACCGTGACTAGGTACCCACATCTTTTTTTCGTCTTATTTCTTCCTGCCTTTTTTCGCCCAGACTATTTTTCCCTATTTTAAGACCAACCACTCCAAAATATTGTTCCTGTCCTCGAATACTTACTCTTCATGTTACTTTTAGTTTCGTCTTTTGTAGTATGTTGTTACGATAATTACGTGAAAACTCACTTAAATCAACAATTTAAGTTCAATCAGATCGAATTGTGATCTGATATACATAAAAACGACAAAAAAGCCAGTGGCTAACTCACTAGATGCAAAACAATTCACTCAAGTAGTTTCATAAAACTGCATAGTTGATTTCCAAAAAGATTGCGAAATTCTTAGTATTTTCAAACTTGTTCTCTTAATGTCTCTTGATATTTTATTTACTTATTCGAACACAAATATTGGTACAAAGGGGCACCAGATACATATGCGCCACATAATAACAATAAGAGTGTGCAGAGATAAAGAATGTATAAGAAGAAAAGGGGAACAATAACGAACGGAAATTAGTGTATGAGAGTGAAATAATAATAATGGAACAGTTCAGTTTGGACAAATGCAACCAGGAGAATTCTTTCATATATAAAAATAAAAGGTCAACTAGACTGGAAATAGGGGTAAGAATAGACAAGGATAATAATGATAAAATAATGTGAAAACAATTTGACACCTAATCACTCTGGATAATAAGCATATATTACCAGGGTAGGTTTAAAGAGAGAACAAACTGTTTTTGAATACACAAAGGGGGGTTGAATTTTCGTATAGCTAAGGCTTCAACAAACCTTAGTATACGCCATTTTACACTTTTAAACAACACCACAAAAGCCGAGTTTAGATCAATCTTATGACCTGTTTCGATTATATGCTTAGCAATAGAGGATGATGGATGTTTTATAAATGTTCTTAACAAGTATATGTGTGATCAGATTGTTCGAAATGTATTACGCTAATATATCACATAGTTCTGATAATCTTCGTCTTCTCATTGCATTATCGAAATTTATCAAAGGGACTAATTGCTTTAGAATTCTTTCAGTCAAAGAAGTTACGTTCACTTTTATGAAGAACGTAAAAGAGGGTTACAGAAGGATCATGACTGACTTCTATTTTGAGCCATGTCTGATAGCGACTCTAGACATTGTGTTGAACCATCTCTAGAACTTCAATCAAGGAGTCGTGAAAGACCAACAAAAGCTAGTCCTGTACAGCTTTCGTCCATACCACGACACCATATCATACATTGACCACCCCTCCGCTTTTTCCAAACGATTCCAACATCGACGTGGAATTTGCTGACACGGCATTTGTAAGGCATGTCCAAGCCACCGAAGTATATGTTTCACGATAATGACACCAATTGAATTAGAGTTACTGTGCCCTGGCAAACGATTCCGAACCTCTACATTTCTAAAATGGTGTTACCACTGGACGTCAGCAATCCTTCAGAGACAACGATGATCAAATACAGAGAGTCGTCCAACATCCTCAACTCAGAGAGGCCAGGTTTCACAAGCCTAGAGCGAAACCGCTTTAACCGTCGCGTTGTAGATCCGACCTTTCACAGCCAGACTAACATCACGAAGGCACCAAAGATAGCCCAGATTAGCATAAGCCTCTCTGGCTTTCACTATAAGTGAATTGATTTCATCACCCATGCTACCACCAGCACTTATTCAGCTACCCAGATACGCGAACTTCTTGACTACTTCTATCTGCTCACTACCAAGGGTGAGTACGACATTGGGGTCCTGCTAGTCTTGTAAAGGTAATTTTGACTTCGAAAGTACAAAGCACACACCATACCTAATGACACTGGTTCCAAACTGATTATGTGCGGATCGCATGACTTGGGTGTCATCCGCATACTCAATGTCAAAATGTCTTTCTTCAGCCAACACATCCACACCACCGTTACCTACATCCATCAGACCTGTTTCCAGAACGTCATCGATAGCAAAGTTGAAGAGGAATGGTGAGATTGGGCAACCCTGTCCAACCCCACTGTTTGGATAGAACAATGGGGAGAGGTGCTTCTATGCCCTTACTTTGCCTGAGGCGTTCGTATATAGGGTTTTTCATATATCAATAAACTTCTCAGACATACTCTCCATCAATAGGCAATCCCAGAGAACAGTCCTGTCCGACGAATCGAAGGCAACCCCAATGTCGAGAAACGCTACGATTGTTGGCCTGTGATAAGTATAACGGTGTTCTAACATTTGGCGGTGGGTGAGGATGTGATCAATACATCCTCAACCAGAACGAAATCCAGCCTGCTCCTCACAAGTCAATTTTTCTCGGGTTTTGAACAATCTACAAAGTATGACGGAAGCCAATAGTTTGATCGCAATCGGAAGTAAACTTATCCCCCGACAGTTGTTGCAGAAACGACGTGAACTCTTTTTAAGGTTAAGAACAACTATCGACCCATTCCACGATGTTGAAACACTCTGCCAGACCTTTGTAGATAATTCATTCATTTCGATAGCCATATTTAAAATGGACCAGAGGTAAATCATCTGAGCCTGATGGTTGGTGGCGCCTCAGAAGTTAAGCTTCTATGTGGACTTCCGCCTTGTTAGGTGGGTCAGTTGTCACAGGCCATGGAGGGCAAGACAGTTTGATCGATGTCACCAGGTAGCCGACTAGTTGGACTGTTCTTCGAAAAACTCTACCCATCGTCCAAGATGTCGATAGATGTTAATTATTGGCATCCCGTCATCTTCACAGATTGTTTCGTTCACACCAGACTTCTTGCTGCCAGTGGCTCGGATGAGTTAAAAGAGCTTCCAGCAGTTACCAGATGCAGTTTGCTGCTTCCAACTCATTGGCACGCTCCGACCACCAGGCTTCTCGGTCCTTACGCAAGCTTTGCCCAATTCGTTACGTAACAGTCATCGTTCGCGGTCAAACTCACTGTCACACGTAGTAGACCGACGTGCTTCAATGAGTTGTAAGGAGTCTGAAGAAGCTCAGTACTTATGACAGGGACGTTTCGCGAAGCCGCAAGCGGCTTTACTCGCCATTTTCATGGCGTCGTGCAATTGTAACCAATGCTCATCTATACTTTTCGGTGGGATGTTAGCTAGCCTTGAACCTAGCTCGGTTTGATATTTAGTTGGAACAGAAGCTGCAACCAGTTTACTGACATCAATCCGTTCAGGCCAATGGATTTGTTGGCCACTGAAAAGTGAGGTAAGATAAGCTCAAACAGGGGGGTGATCAGAGCTCAGATAGGTACTCCAAAAGGATCGGCAGTCTTGTGCACGACCACGCCAGCGGTAGCTGATCTCAATATGATCAATCCGATTCCAGGCTTGGGATGCAGAGGAAAGGCGCCAGGTGACACGTCGGCGCTGACTTTGCCTGTAGTTAGTGCTAAACATAAACAGGTTGTGGTCTGCACACAGGTTCAGTAGATGGTCCCAGTTATCTGGTCTACAACCAACAAGTCCCCATCGGCCACCTAAACGACTCTCTTCTATGCCTAGACGCCTTACCTGAACATTCAAGTTTCTAGCTAGTACTAAAATGTCTGTCTAACGCACTTTCTTCAGAAGAACTGTTAACTGATGGTAAAACTCATCCTTGATCTCATCCGGGCTGCAATCTGCCGGAGGAAAGGTGGAGATGATGTAAAGACATCGTTTCTCACACCGATTTCCTTACACTTTGATGAAACTTTCTAATCTAACAACACATAGCCGACTGACAATGGGGATCCAATCGATTAGTGCTGCCTCAGCTCTAGCGCTTAGTGCGACATCAACTTCAGCAAAACCAGACGAAGATGCCACAGGATCCCCGGGTAAACTTACGTAAAACAAGCTTTTCAAAGCGACATATGGTGAGCAAACTTGTAGTACTTCACTAGAGTCTTGAATACGGGTCTTAGATAGACAACAGACGTCGACATTAAGACTTTCTAAAGACATGACCAACCCTATCTGTTGTCCGATCAGCATTAGTGTGCGAACGTTGAAGGAAACCAGTTTGAATGGTGTATGTGGTTTCAGAAAAACTGGTTCAGTATTCGTATTCGGTGAAAGCAGTCACTTTCGACCAGACAGTGACTCGAGATCGTTTGGATAGAACAGAGTTTCCATCATAGGCGAGCTGCTGTGTAAGTTGAAAAATAAGGATACAAAAAGTTGAAATAAATAAGTGTAGATAAGTGACGTAGTATATAAAAAAATGAAAGTGTATATTCTTTGAATTTCAATTGAAGCGAGAATAGTATTTTCAGTAATTATCGTCGTTTCATTTTATTTGTTTGCGTGTTGTGATACTGCCCGAGTGCCCAGACCGAAGCAGGTGGTTTACTTAGGGGGCCACACTCAAAGCCTTTGACCTAAAAGTCTAATCCACAAGGCAGTCGAGCATCGTGAGGAGATGCAGTTCCATGGTAGTCGGTGACCAACAATTGGTTCATACGTCATTTGTCCCCTTCAGGACACTGGAGCCCATGTGCAGCATTGGTTTGGAATCAGGGTTTCCCAACTCCCCTAGGTGAACCTTCCGTGTCCACCAACCCCGTTAAAGCGCCGGATATTCGCTTTTCGTCCTCTCGATTTCGCAGACAACACCCCCACCGCGAGAAGACAGTGAGTAGGACTTCCCTGTCAGAGGCTATATACGCGTGGTCGCATGAGAGCATTTGGGGAGGGAGAGCTGACTCTCCCCACTCTCTGCCGTACCAGGGCATTTGGAGGCTTGATACAAAAAGCTTTACCTAGTCGTACTGTCCAACAACAGTAACACGACTAAAATTACCTTGATTCTTAAGTTATCCCCACAGATCTAAGAAAGAAACCAAAAATCATGACAAACCTCGATATAGAACCCGCGAAAGTACCGATATTCCGGACACATTACATTGTTTTTTGTTGTTCACGGTTAATATTTGTTCTCTTAATTACAATTCCAACTAGCATATTCTTTTCTGAAAGTTTTTAGAAAATCACAGATGCTGAAGTTTGGATTAAATCGACTTAACTATGCCGTATCTTCTGGCCTTGTCAAAAGTCAAAAACGAAGCGCATACACAAGGCTTCCTTTAAATTGGTCTACTTCACAAATTACATGTATGTCAATGTACTATTTCTCCCTTACCCTATACCTAGATAGAGAAGATCAAGTTCCGAGAAATACAGATGTGTTAGTTGTCGGTGGAGGTATCATAGGTTGGGCAACAGCTTTTTGGATGCGACGTGATTCAAAGTTTTCTGTCACTGTTGTTGAGAAGGATCCTACATATAGTCAGTCAGCTACGGTTCTTGGACTAGGGTCTATACGACAGCAATTTTCAGAACCAGAAAATATACAAATGTCATTGTTTTCAATTGACTTTTTGAGAAATCTCTCAAATTATTTATCGGTGGAAGGTTTGAGACGATTAATATATTAAATTGTTTAGTCCAGATCCAATAGAAAACATAGATATTGGTTTCAATCCTCAAGGTTGTTTAATTTTAGCAAATGCTAAGAATGTGGATTTGTTAAAAGAAAATCATTTATTACAGATGTACGCTTTTATTGTTATTTGTTTCTTTACTAATTACCATTTGTTATAGTGATCTAGGAGCAAAAGTTGAACTGCTAACCAAAGACGATCTGTCTGCGCGTTGGCCATGGATGAATGTTGAAGATATTGAAATGGGTTGCTACGGTTAGTGTGTATTTGAATTTATATGTAATATTTCATTTAGGATTTGATCCTAAATACGTTTGATAGCTGTAATAGTTGAAAAATAGCGGTTAACTAGTTAAGTCACTTGACTCTCAACCACTGAGTTAAAGGTTTAAACCCCACTTTACCTGTTTACTTCTCAAGTAGCCAGGTAATATGTATCACTGGCTCATACTCACACAGTGTGACCCAAAGCCGAGCATATAAACCTGTACTCGATAACTGTGTCAGTAATGGGTTTTTCTTGACCTTTCTCGTGTGATCAAGCAAAATAGGCCATAAAAATAGAAACTTGCTGAAGACTTGCCATAATAGCCCTTTTCGAGAACATTGTTGTGATTTTTTCACGTCTATGTTCAAAATTGTGCCAACGATAGTTAATGTCTGTTGAAAGGAAAAAGAGAAAGTTGTGACATACTCCGATTAGCAAACGTTATATTGGAGTGCAGTACGTCAATAAAGTTTACTGGCTAAAGTTTGTACGTGCTGAAATGTTTTTATATCATATTCACATAGATGTTAGTGAACAAACTGAAAAATAACTAATTAGATGTGATCGGCTGAACACTTGAAGTATGGAAATACTTAACATCAAACAACTGCATGAAATTAAGAGTTCAGGATAATGAAAATCCGTGCAGCCAAGAAATAATAATCATAAAAGTAGTAATACAAAAAAGGATGTGTATTTACCACTTTAAATTTATATACTAAAGCAAATGGTTTACAAATCAGTGGCCTGATTTCTTAATGTGTGCTATGAAAGTTACATAAATAATTCGTGAGAAAGAAGAAACAAATAGTTGAATTAGATAAATATAATGGTTGATACATATCTATCAGGTCAATTGATTCTTCTTCCTGATCTAGTCGTAGTTTCTACTGTTATCGAGCTTCGGTGTGGAATCATACTTGATGTACGTGGCTTGTTTGGTGTTTGTTCTGCTGTGGGTCTAGATTATTTCTTCGTTGACGGTCGCTCAAAGTTCTAATTTCAAATGATCGTTACTGACAGAATCGTGCTTTCTGGCTCTTTCTAAAGTGACTGTTTTGCCATATTTTCGCATGGTTTTAAAAAGGTCGTCATAAGGACCCTGCAATCGTCATCGTACTTTATCTTTTCTAATGACTACTTCTGTGCAGTCTTCTGAGTCCCTAGGCATAAATGACTTGGTTTTCTGAGCTCGTGGGTCGACGGATCTTATCTACTCCATCTGTTACTTCAGTTGCTGTACGTAGCTGATGATATCTACTGGAATAGCTTTTGCACTTTCAAAGAGTTCACCTGGGAAACAGTTTTGTTTCATAAACCAACTTGTCAGCGCAACACCTGATGTCCCTTTTGAGGTCTGTGCAAATCCTTAATAATACTAAAGGGAGCTTGACATCCCATTTGCAATCGCCTCTCGTGGCTTTTGGAGAGACGTTTAGTTGTCGGTGAAGTCTCTATCATTCCGTCTGTGGCAGGATGGCAAACTATGGTTCGTATTCACTTGATGCTTAACAACTCTACTAGTTGCTGAGACAGACGACTTTCGAATTGTGAACCTCTATTTGTACTAATTCTTTTTAGAACTCCAAAATTACCAGCCGAGCCTTTCACAAATTTCTTTACCACTGCCTCTTCTGTAGTACCTTTCAATGGAATGGCTATTGACCACCTAGTGAATCAGTCAATACACGTTAGCATGTAAAATTATTAGGTGGTAAGGGTTCGACAGTATCAAGTTGTACATTTCCGAACCTGACGTCAGTTACAAGAATCTTCACCATGGGTGACATTGTATGTCGTCGAACTTTTTTATTTCTGACACTAAATACACGGAGACATCTGAGCCAAGAGTGATATAATAGGCATTTACCCACAAGACGACTTCACAATCTATTTTTCATATGCCATTTCAACTGTGACGGTGTGTTTTCACCTAGTTGTACTCTACCTAAAGGCTGATCAATTATCTGCTAATCGGTCAAAGATGTGACATGAATGATCTCTCTTTTTAGGTTAGCATATGTTATGTCTAGATCCATATCAAAAATAATCCTTCTCATTAAGTTTGGTTAATTAACTTCGTATTTTCAAACAAACAACATCTCTACTTTCTCATCTAGGTTATGAAAACGAGGGATGGTTTGATCCTTTTCTTTTACTGAAGGCATTGAAAACAAAATGTCATTTCATGGGAGTAAACTATGTTGTTGGAGAAGTGACTGACTTCCATGCTTGTCCATTCATGATGATATCTTCTTCCGTTGGGAGGCCACAGAGACCTCCAGTTTCAAGTAGACCTTTACGTTCTGCTACGGTAAGCTTTAGTAAAAACACCTAATTCTGTTTGTTTTAATCTTGCACAAATAAAATTATCCAGCAAGTTACCTTGGTTTTCAAATAGTATATCTCTTTTCACTATGTTTCAGCTAAAATACCAGCGTTTTTCATATTCATACATACAGCATACAAAGAGCAATTTCAACCAAACTGGAGCAGTGGTTTATTGATCTAACCATTTGAATCTCAACCTTTGAGAAACATGTTCTAATCCTACTCCAACTGCTTTAGCTCCGGCAGTTGGGTCATGTCACGAACCCTCAATCTGAGAGTATAGTCTCAGAACGAAGTGCATTGACATACACTTTTGTACTTAGTTGGAGTTCTTATATTCAGTTTAACTAAGTACAACAGCATTTATTTCCACTTGGCTTTTTAAAAGGATAAATAATCTTGGTAGATCATACATTATATCACTCTTTTGAATTTGCCTAATAAGTTTTTATTGATACAATGGGCAAGAAATAAACCCGATATCGTGGTTCAAACTCCATAGGCTGGTGACTGATCTACAGAACTAATTATGTTTTAAATAACTTTTAATCATGTTTATTTCGATTGTTCAATATCCTGTATATAAATGTGTCATACTACTGACCAGTTGGTTAGTCTACTTTGATGGGCTTTGCGTAAGTAGTATGGTTTTCGTAAGTAAGCATCGCTCAACCACATGTTAATAATAATGATGATAATATTTTTATTCAGAAAAGCTTTTACAGATTTCATGCCATTTCGAAGATATAGTCGTGATGACATATCCTTTACAGAAATGTGTTTAAGTCATTAAAATATTTGCAGTTGATTAGTTTAAAAGAATCAAACGTACATTTACATAAAATATTCTTTTCTTATCTTAGAATATATACAATTTTACCATTAATCCACTTATCTTCATCTATTCGCTTTCAATCTGTTCAGATTTCTCTTCCCAACCAAACGAATGTTTCCATTAGTTTTAATTCAGTAGTAAATGCAGCAGGTCCATGGGCAGCACGTGTGGCTGGGTTGGCTGAAATTGGCAGTGAGAATTTTCCTTTACGATTACCAGTTGAGCCAAGGTGACTTGTAAATAGTTTGCTTTCTTTTTTAAATTCATCATTTCTTATATATATATATATATATATATATATATATATATATATATAATTTTCCTGTCCTCCTCATTTTTGCATAAGTTGTCATATGGAATTTATTTCCGAAGTAAGCAGTCAGAAATTCTACGGAATCTTCAGGTTACAAATCTGATTTTCATATTTAACACAAAAAGGTTGCTTTGAATGTAGGGGAGATTCAAAGTAATTTTTATCTTTAACCCGATGTCAGTAGTTGTTTTTTTCTTATTTCTTGAGCACATCAATGTCACTTTATACTTTAGAGATTGGCCTCCTACTCGAAAGCTTCCTTATAGACTTCGAGCACACATCTAACATTGACATGTTTAATGGAAACTCTGAAAAAATACAAATTGACGAAGCAAAGGTTTTCAAATTTATTTTCCCCCTCTAAATGCAAAATCTTCCCGCAGAACCGATCTAAGTCAATACCTTTGCTGACCATAAAAACTAAAGTAGTTGGGCTCGTTTATCAATTCACTTACATTAAAAGTCTCATTAACCCAACTGGGTTGTTAGCTGACTAAAAAAATTTTTAAAATATCACTTTAGTGATAGTTCGTCAAGGCTTTTAGGTTAAAGTTTAGACAATGATATCATTGTTCACACTAATGAAATATTCATATTCTATTTCCACTGTTGTATTCATGAGTTGTTCGTTCCCTTCTCTTCATTATCTCCTGATCTAGATATCGTCAAATTTTCGTTGTGCGACCTAAAAATACACTTAGTCACATAGAAAGTCATTATCCATTACCTGGTTTAGATATGCCATTTATGATAGATCATAATCGTTTATTTATCGAACGTCGTGATCTATCCGGGGAATTTATTGTTTATTCCGATAATCCTAAATTTGATTCTCTTAACAATAATTGTAATGAACAAGTAAGTTATTTATTTTTTAAGACTATATATAGGCATTTTTATTACCTTTTTTCCATTTCGAAAAATTTGATTTTCCCAATTACTTCTAGGTAGCTAGATTGGACGACGTGCCTGTGGAAGAAAGACATCACAAACAGTAACAATGTTAAGTAGTTGGAGGTAATCACCATAAAGCCTTTGACCTATGTTTTGCAGTATCCGTTACTCGTCAGAAAAACCTGCTTGCACTCTTAAGGGAATAAATGCTATTTACGGGATTTGAGTTATCTCTAAGCTGTATCACAGTCATAGACGTTGCTACTGGGATGTTTGGGTCACGATTGGCTGAGCATTAATCTTAGTGAACACCTCCCTTTGTGGTTAGGAAAAGGTTTTATTTTTTATTTATTTAAACACATAAATATTGGTACAATGAAGCACCAGATAAATATGCGCCTCACAAATCTCATTCGATTTGTGTGAGGGCTGTGATACTGCCCAGGTGCCCAGACTGAAGCAGGTGGTTTTCTTAGGGGGCCACACCCGGAGCCTTTGACCAAAAGGTCTGATCCACAAGGCAGTGGAGCATCGTGAGGAGATGCAGTCCCATGGTAGCCGTTGACCAATGACAGGTTCCTCCGCCATTCGTTCCATCAGGATACTGGAGCCCATGTGCACCATTGGTTTGGAATCAGGGTTTTCCAACTCCCCTAGGTGGGCCCTCCGTGTCCACCAACCCGGTTAAAGCGCCGGACATTCGCTTTTCGTCCTCTCACTTTCGTAAACAACGCCCCCGCCACGAGAAGGCAGTGAGTAGGACTTCCCTGGCAGAGGCTATATATTCGCTGGCCATATGAGAGTATTTCGAGAGGGAGAGGTGACTCTCCCCACTCTTGGCCGTACCAGGGCATTTGGGGGTTAGGAAAAGGTACTGCCAAGACAATACGCAGCTCGATTCTATCACAGATGATCGATAGCGGTCATGTAGTAAACAAAAATAGGTCATTTAAAGTTATTTATCGTATTCCTTATGAGGTTCAATCTCGTCTCTTTCACATGGCAGAAACTACAGGAATTTCAGACAACAATCCAAGTCTTTGTGTTCATAAGAAATTCGTAACACCTATATCTCTCCCTCGGGCTTAAAAAATGATTTTATTCATCATTATTTTCCATGCTATTTTTTCGTTTATTTTTCTTCACCCCCTCCTACTATTTTGTTTTTTTCGCAAATGCACGTTTCACGGTCCAATTATCCGAACACCTCTTATTACGTAATGTTGTAATTTTTATGAATGTTATTTCAGTGTCTATATCTTTTCTAATCATTGATCTATTTCTCATTATGTAATATTGATTCAAGCCTTTATTATTCTTATCGCAACTAGTACACCTGTTATCACACTACTAATTTGTACTTTTCATTTATTACGTTTATTTATGTAATCTATTCCACTGTTATCATTGACTCCTAAACCACCTTGAGTGGTTTAATAATTTCGTATATGTGTGTAAATATTACTGTATATTAGAGTGAAACCTGATGAGGATCGAATCGAAAACAATATTGTTCTCTTATATATGTTGTTCTAAAAAAAATACTGACTCGATAAATAATTGAAAAAGATTGGCTTATACTAGCTCTATGACCAGTTTGCACTAAATGAACCAATATCGAACTGTTCCCTACTAAACCTTCGCTTAGTCACTCTGAGGGGTGGTCGAGAGCACGAAAATGTAAATTCCTAGAAATTCGACCGATATAACTTACTCCACAAGAGCAGTCGAAATTATAAATACAAAACGGAATGGTTATTCTATGTTGTTCATCTTTTAGCCTCAGTGGGTAGAAAACACTAGTCGTAGTTCATTGATGTTGAATGATTTTCGGACTGCTCTGTGTAATCTCTAAATTAATATCTCGCTAGCTGCATCTTATTAAACTTTATTGAACTGTTTGAATTGGCAGCTAATTTTCATTTCAATGCCTACCATTTTCTATTTATTTCTTTTTGTTTTAATATCAGAATTCGGTGAATCGTGAATTTTTCTATGAACATATTCAACCATTATTGTGTAAACGTATACCAGGATTTAAAGATGTTGAAGTAACTAACTTGATGCTTTAAATATAATTTATTTATTTTTCTGACATCACTTGATGTTTGACTATATTTGTTGATTTAGCTTAGATTACACCATAACCCTGTGTGTTTTCTTAGTGAACTTTAGCAATTAAATAAATGATAAGAACTTAACGGTTCTTAAGATTTTGAAATGGACAAAAGTTATTCACAGGATTTCAGTCTTATGTTGGCTTGAATGTGATATTTCTCCTGGTACTAATTAGTGAACATCAACTCCAGAATAAAACATCCTTGTCCATTTCCGGATCAAAAACAGGATCTTAAACTGTTGAGATAACTTCTTTAAGTTTATATGTTCTTACTTAACAGCTTCTGTTTATCTGTGTTCGATGTTATTTTAACATTCGGATAGATTGAAAGTGTCTGGAAGTAAAATGATTTTCACCGTTGTTTTTTTCTTCATAGTTGGTTAGGATGTCCAATCGATCTCGTATGTAAATTAATCATGTCTTTTAATAACACACTCATTCGTCTAAGTTCATTGCCTCACTTTACACTCATGAAATGATGTTAAAGTCGTAAGTGGTTGATCTTTGTATATGACTGATTCTTATTTTGTGACCCATGTGGATTTCTATTGGTGATGTTGATTTTAAAACGTACTGGTTATATTCACTGTATATAAATGGATAAATCCAAAAATCGTAAGAGTGTCTTCTCTCGTGATTTTAGTGTTTGTTTTTTGAGCGTATCAATAAATTTTGTCCAATTTGTCGTTCATTGATGAAGTGATATACAGAATAGTATATGTATGTGGTTGAATGACAAGAAACAGTGATTCTAGGAACTAGTTCACCTATTGCCTAATGCTAGAATATTTGAAATAACGTATCAGCTTTTTCATCTTGGATTACTAATATGTTAACTGAAGCTACTGTAATAGAAATGTGCGTTTAGTACACCAATTTGCTGTTTTCTAACATCGATATCTGTTAGTTACGAATTCGTGAGGAGATGCAGTTCCATGGTAGCCGGTGACCAACAATTGGTTCATGCGTCATTTGTTCCCTTAGGATACTGGAGCCCATGTGCAGCATTGGTTTGGAATCAGGGTTTCCCAACTCCCCTAGGTGAACCCTCCGTGTCCACCAACCCGGTTAAATCGCCGGACATTCGCTTTTCGTCCTCTCGATTTCGCAGACAACACCCCCACCACGAGAAGGCAGTAAGTAGGACTTCCCTGACAGAGGCTATATACGCGTGGTCGTATGAGAGCATTTGGGGAGGGAGAGCGACCCTCCCCACTCTCTGCCGTACCAGGGCATTTGAGGGCACAGTAATCAATTTAGTCTACTGGACGCCAAAACTTTTGACAAACTTATATATATATATATGCATCATATCTTCATAAATACTGTTTAATATAAATCTCAAAATATAGTATCTATATACTTATATCATTTCATTCATTAATCTACTTTCATTCAATATGTAAATAGGTAACTTCAGGTTGGATATCTGTATGTGATTATAATACATGGGATCAAAATTTAATTACTGGTTTTCATCCATTTCATACAAACATGTATTTTTGCAATGGTTCAAGTGGTCATGGTACACAACATGCTATAGCAATTGGTAAATCAATTTCTGAATTAATTACTTTTCAAAGATATAAAACAATAGATCTAGTACGTTTCTCATTTGATCGTTTATTTTTTAATGAAATTGTAAATGAAGTGAATTGTTTTTAAAAGTCTCCCTGTAGTTGTTAATTCATCACCTTATTGAATTTATTCAATGAATAAAATTTGTAAATAAATAAATATATAATTTGTTTTTCTTCTTTTTGTTATGATCGTCCTCTTTTTCTGTAAATTGAATAAATGTTAAATAGATAAATAGGGGCATACTGATTATTGATTGTTAATTTAGTAATTAATATAACTCAGAAGTAGGCATGTTCACACTCATGTACTTGACTTTAAGCTATATTTGTTGTTCGTGTATATAGGTTAGCGACTAATTATACCATCTTCTTATCAAAACTGAAATATATGGAGTGAATTTTGAAGCTACTACTTGACTGTTTCAAACATTAGGCTCTATTATTATGCAAAATATAACAATTACACTTTTTTGGACAAATTATCATTATGTAATCTACGTATTAATAAACTACTTAAGTCTAAACATATTACATGTCGTTTCGAAGCCAAACGGTGAGGTGAAAGATGGCTATTGGACGAAGCTGATTGTACACTTAGTCAAAGTCTTACCCTACATATTTATATTTCATGGTCAGAGGGATAGATGTATCTGCCAAGGATTTGTGGACACTATTCAGTCTGCCAATTATAGTAATCTAGTCATTTTTAGTCTTCTTTTGTATCAGGTTAGACAAGCATTTAAAGAAGTTTATGTATCTATCTCTAAATCATTGGTCTTAATCGATTTGTTGCATCTCAAATGAACCGGCTGGGAAGTTGGTTCTAATTGCGATGTGATTGTGATCAGTCTTTCGAATTGAATCGTCACGGAATAGTTCGTTTCGAATTAGTTATTCGAAGATTTACAGAATAGTCTCAATTTGAAAGTAAAAGTAGGTGAAAAGACTTGACGATAGTTATCTGAGAGGAGCTCATTCAGGAAAATAGTTTCTGATGCTTTATTTTCCTTGTTTTATATGGTTACTACAGAAAATCACAATACTATTACGCTTGACTAATATAATATTGGTCTTACCAATATTAGTTGAGTAACAACTATAGTTTATCCTACCTTCACTGTTATCACAAATCCATTTCTTAACTCAATCTCATTCTTATTACATAAGATAATTCATATTTGACAGTGGTAGGAATAAATCAGTGAATATTACAAGTTATCCAATATATCGGAAGCAGAGTTGACTACTTAACATCAATTGTTTGTCAGAAAGAAAAATATTTTTAAGGTATACCAAATTTTCCGAAATAAGATAACTTTAGAGGTTCTCTACACAGGTTGGCATCTGTTCTTCAAGTCCATTTATTCAGAATGAATTTCAGCGCTTAAAAGACTGATCGATTTGACTGATGTGTTTTGGTTTTATTTTTAGACTACTAATAAGTAGATTATTTTCTTAATAGAAAATCACTTTCAGTCTTGCTACAAATGTGCATTTGTTGGATTTTTTTAAAAGTCTAAAGAATTAAACGATCTTTTGTGTTCTTAAAACCAGAAATGATGAAACTGTTAGCATACAGAGTTTAATATCACAGTACACTTCAAAAATCATATGTGTCTATACTAACTTTGTAATTACCATTAAGAAATGGAACCGTTGCAAGTTAACACATTTACATAAGCTTTCTGTCCACCTCAGAAAAATATTATAAACAGATTCGATTGTATTCATTCAATGTGATATTTTCAACAAATATTCAAGGCAACGTGCTGAAATTCTCTTAACCATGTGACTCCTTATAGTTACTAGAAAGTGAGATAAGGGACAACAATGTTGATAAATCAGTTCGTTTCTCAACGAATAGAAATGTATGATATTTCAACTAGTATATGTGTGTTCTGTATTCTTAATTAGCTAAACTAATAATCGTGGAGATTTCATCTATCAAATACTCTAATACTATGATAATTAATCAAAACACTAGTTGGTACGATCTATTTTCTTAGAGGATCATTCTGTCGATACAAGAGGAAAAAGAATCCAACTCACTAATAATGATCCCAGCAAATTGTGACCAGTTTGAAATTTCTCTTCGGCTTATTATTTGTTGGGAATAAATAGACCACCATATACCCTTTATTAGTTTCAAATTTGAACCATTTGTGGAAAGTCCCCGTATTACTGAATGACATGATCTCTCCGAACTTATTTGTGATACCTGATTAAATCAGCATTTGCTTAATAGCTGGACAAGACAATGCTCAAAACCTTGAAATTAACTCACGCTTCTGTCACGTAACCAATTCGTAAAGTTAAATCTATTTCCAACAAACAACTCTCATTAGGGTAACTTTTAAGTTAGTCCTCTAATATTCATATTAACAAAAGCAGTGTAGCCCAAACTTACTCATAAGATGTTTCGATCTTGTTTAGACTAAATTATGCATAGTCGTAAGTAAACATACGAAGTATTTTATTTTCTAAGGTTAGTTCATTTGGTTCCCAAAGCAGTGAAGAAAAGCTGTACATGCTAGGATGCTGGTTATCGATTATTTACAACCAGACACATGGTTGCCGAAAGTTATTTTTCTCTATGCAGAGACAAAGTAATATTTAGTAGCATATTGATTACGTGTCATACACGGGTTTACCGGGTATTATAAACCATTGTATAAACAAATAGTAGTGTATTAAATTCAATGTTTAACGTAACAATGGTAACTGTCATCAAACAAAATTACTTGATTCAAGCTAAGAGTAAACTTACCATTATTTATAACAATAACTCCGTTCGTAGCCATTCTAAGATTACTGCCGGTTCCGATCCCGAGTAAATGAGGAAGGTTGGGCATGTGTTAGTAACTCCATTCTGTAGAAAATAACTTTTCTAAAAACCTCTAACCAGGATAAACAACTCAAACCATTTAGATTCTGTCCTCAAAGTTGAAAAATATCTATTCAGAAGAGTTATGACACCTCAGGGTGAAAGCTGAGATTCTCCAGAAATCATGAGGCTGATGCCCATCTAACAACCAGGGCAATAATTATTATTGGTACATGGAATATCTGAACAATGTGGGAGACTGGAAGGACCAGTCAAATAGCTGCGGAAATGGGGACATACAACACAGCGATTCTCGGAATCAGTGAAACCGATTGGACCTAATCTGGACAGAAAACGATAGATTCAGGTGAGATGCTGCTGTAATATGGTCACGAAGAAGAGACTGCTTCTCACACTCAGGGAGTTGCTCTGATGCTGTCCAAGGAAGCACATAATGCATTTATAGGATGGAAATCTCATGAACCCAGAATCAGCAAAGCATCCGTCAAAACAAAGGAGGGGATCATAATGAATGTTATCCATAGCTATACACCCACTAATGATAACAACGACGACGATTAAGATCAGTTCTCTGAGAGGCTGCTTTCAATCATAGTGAAGTGCTCAAGAAAGGACCTCACCATCCTGATGGGAGAACTGAACGCCAAAGTCGGAATGTACAACACTGTATATGAGGATATCATAGGACAGCATGAACCGGGAGGGAGAAACGAGAATGAGGGGAGATTTGCAAACCTAGTTGCATTCAAAAAATTAGTTATATGTGGCAAAATATTCCCCCACAAACACATACACAAAGCCATATGGGTCTCACCGGATCACACCATGGAGAACCAAATAGATCATATTTATATCAATAAAAAATTCAGAATATCCATGGAAGAGGTTAGAAGCAGGGGAGGAGATGAAATGGCTTCGGATCACCACTGTCTGGTTGTAGCCAATATGAAACTGAAGCTTAAGAACCATTGGGAAGCTGGGAGAACAGCACTACAAAGGTTCAGTACAATATTCCTTAGACATACTGACAAACTCAACCAATTCAAGATGACCCTCAACAACAGGTTCCACGCATTACAGGATCTATTGAAAGAAGAAGGAACTATGACAGTGTATATCTAGAAAGGAATCGAAGAAGTAATAACATCGACATGTCAGGAGGTTCTGGGCCACAAGAAGCATCATTATAAGGAATGCATCTCTATGGAAACCCTGGGTAGGATTCAAGAAATGAAGAACAAGAGAGTAAGGAGGAACATTGGAGTCGACAAGCAGAGTTACGTGGAAGACCTAGCAACGAAAGCGGAAGAAGCTGTAAGAGGAGGAAATGTCAGACTACCATATGATACAGTGAAAAAAACTAGCATGGAAATATAGTGAACCTGAGATACCAATCAAGAACAAAAAAGGCAAGTCAACCACTGAGATTCAAGAACAATGGAACAGCTGGGTAGAATGATTTGAAGAACTCTTGAATAGGCCACCTCCACTGAATCCACCAGATATCGAATCAGTACACACAAATCTTCCTATAGATGTCAATCCACCAAAGATCGAATAAGTCAGGATGGCCATCAGCCAAGAGAAGAGTGGAAAAGCAGAAGCACCTAACAATATCTCAGCTAAAGCATTGAAGTCAGACATAGGAGCAACTTCAAATGTGCTCTACATTCTATTCAGGAAGATTTGGGAGGAATAACGAGTGCCACTGACAGACTAGAGTGAAGGATATCGAATCAAGATACCAAAGAAACGAGATCTTAACAAATCTGAGAACTACAAAGGCATCTGTTATATCGGTTGAGTGCGTGCGTGCCCTATTTGATATATGAGTGATAAGACCGCCAATTAGAGAGAAATGAATTTATTGATCAGAGCAATGATATACAAAAGCTGTATGAGCAGTCTTGAGTACTTGTCAATCCTGCTTTCTGCCTAGCCCGGCCAATTAAGTACAGAACACCAATAACGACCACATCGTACCATAAAATAGAAAATAACATTTGTACAAGATTTGGTCAAATGTGGCTGTGAATAGCGGGAACAGTAATTAATGGGGGATAACTCAAGAATGATAAATCGTAAAATAATAGTCTATAGGTCAAAATAAAGCTTATAATAAGAGGGACACGAATATGAATAGTTTTGTTACTTAACAATTATACAATAGGAAATATACATATCATATTGGTCCTTAAATAGTCCTCGATAGTTACCGTTCATAATTCTCTTCAGGATGT